TTCTTTTCTGTCCAGGAAATATATTTCGTCTGCTATTATAGAGCCAGAAGGGTTTTAACCCAGTGTTAGAGTTTTGGCTTCGCACCCATCTGGCTCTCAAAAGACGATTTGTGCGAGAAAAAGTATTGCTAATTAATGGCTAGTTTCACCCTTTTGCCATCATAAGCCAAAAATATAAATGTTGTTTTTGTCTATGATACCAACAGAATGAGTGGAATTACCAGTATTTAGAATGTTTAACCTGAAAACATTTAACGTTCCATTCCAATGCTTTCTTTCTCCTATGTCATACATGACTAAGAAGGCGTAAAGCATCACGCTTTTATCAGGATGTTTTCTTGAAGGATACACAAACATTGTCTTTTTATTTGGGGAGAGAGAATGTAAAAAGACGTCATTCAACCAAAGAACAATGTGGAGTTTTTAGACCATGAAAGCTGTTAGGTGGTGGAAAGTGGAGTGTTTAACATGAATAGCAGACTGCATGCCCCTAGCTTATCATAATGATGTGAACATTGTGCAAATTGTACACATCTTTCTCGCACTGATTTATTTTTAGATAATGAGTGTAACTTTAACCCTGGTGTTAACGATCACTGAGAGTTCCATAGTAATTTGTATACGACTGTCCCGTGCATAGGACATAGCACGTCCTTGGTCCAGAATACATTCACTACTGAAGGTGTAGATGGTGGATTGTAATAGAAAAAAGATTGTGAAAGGAGATTTGGGTAAATGGCTGTCGAGGGAAATCATTTAGTAACACATGTATGTCAAGGCTAGGAATGTGAATCATTACAGAAAAGTACATTAGAGAGGTAGATAATTTACTCATCCAAAGAAGGTTTCATTTTATGTTTAGGTCCTAATCAATTTCCTCTTTTTTTTTCCCTGTAGAGTTTACTCCCTTTTGGTTCTCAGTTGACATCTTTTTTTAGGTGCAACTCCAATGGGTTAGATTCAAAGATATATACAGCCTTTATTAGGCTAAATGAAAAAAGTGTTGAGTTTTCACTGGTAGGCCGTTCAATTAAGGTCTGCAATATATATTTACATGTATTTCAATTAAAAAGAAAAGAACATTGTGACAATTATTTTCATAGAAGGCAGCACTTAATAAGTTAAATTTTGTCCTATTATTTATGAAGAGATATATATTATTTGGGTTTTATTTCAATGTATCACTTCCCTTTGAAGTTTTATCTTCTTTTGAAATGTTTAAGTCACCCAGCATGTAATCCAGAATTCCCAATAATAAATGTCAAATACTGTTTGCCAATAGATGGCAAAACTGACAAGCTAGCAAAGTCTGTCAGCAAAACCTGCGTTTAAAACTGTATCCAAAGAGGCACAAGCTATAGTGGCGTGAATAATCCCTCAGAAAATGTGCAGAACCGGTAGTGATTTGGAGCGGAAAAAATCTGGCTTCATGAAAGGCCAGCATCCCATTCAAGAAGACTTTCTCTCTCGTTTCCATTCTGGCCAACTGTATGGAAGACTTACGGTTGGTTTAACCCATACAATACACCACTTGTATCAAGAAGAATAGTCTTCAAGAAGGCAAGAGGTTGAGGAAAAGAATGGAGGCTTTAAAAAGCAATAAATGCCAAGTACCTGTAAACAGGGCGATAGGAGGGAGGGGCTGCTGATTGAAAGACGTGCTGAGTCGGAGAGCCAGGAAAACCTACCAAAACAACTTTGTATCCATCTGTAAATGTTGAAAGTGATTCTAAATATCTAATGAACTTCATTCACTCACATTATGATTGTGTATATCTGTACCAAGTAGGCCTGAAGTATCTCTTGGAAGACAATCCTAAACTTTGAATTTGATAACAGTGGTGCTCTGTTTAAAGCAGGTTATATTTCTTTTGCTATGGGTATATGCTTAAACTACAATATCCAATTTTTGTTTGATAAAGTGTAAAGTTTAATACTCAATTTGTTAAATGCAAAATAGCATTTCCTGGAGTAATAGTTAGGAACCATTGGATTGTCTTTTTGCCACAGAGTAAAAGTTTATGTAGAGCATTGGTTGACAATCAGAGTTCATATGTACTGTTGGAAGGTGTGAAAACAATTTCCTGTCTTTTACGGGCTACCAATGTTATCACTCTCTGCACTTTTTCTCCTCAAACCCCATTATCTTTATTTTGACGAATCCTGCTTTATCTCAATCGGCAAACCCTGAAGAAACAATGATTTGACAGAAGCCTGGAGGGTGCTGAAAAGGACATGAATATTTGTAGTTTCTGTTTCTGAATTGCTCGTAGATGTCAGAAGTCTTTCAAAATATTAGCTTTTTAAAGTACCATTTCCTGTTTTATCTCTTTTGTTTGGGGGTAGCTTGAGATAGCCAAGGTAAAGAAAGTTGCAAGTGAAATATGACATTGATGAAAGTAAGTTTTATTTGGAGTTTTGTACATCTGCCAAATTAATGTTCCAGAAACAGGGGTAAAAATAGCAAGTTATTCTAGCATTTCTTTCAATTTCAGTTAGTCTTCTAGATAATGCACTACTTAAGGCAGAGCAACAGTCTACAGCACAAAAAGCAAATCAATCAAACTTTGACAATGAATCCATAAATTTGGGAGATTTGAACTTGTTATATCTTCTTGTATGAAATGGCCATGGCAATTACAAAGACCTTTTCATTAGATTTCATGTTCATGCATGCATTGAATTGATTGATTGATTGATTTTTACTCGCCAAGCTTCCAACAATCAACAATGTACAAGAATAACAGATCAAAATTAAGTCGGCTTGAACAGGATAACCCACGAAAGCTCGAGAGCTTATTTGGAAATAATCTCTTCCCATGCATAATTTTCTGATCACATTGAGAACAAATCCAGTTTATTCAATAAGATATGTATTTCTCCTGTACCTAACATTAGTGACTTTTTAAGTGACCTTGGCATACCCATCAATCCTTATTTAATGCATTCGTCTGTCAAATAATGGGTCTATATACATGTATATGAAAAAGTTGCTAGAATGATTTAATGCAATTCGTCATTCTGAATGACCTCAATGACCCAACAGCTATAATATTATCCTCTTTGCTGTCTCAAGTTTCTCTCCATGTCTTCAGTGCATCTAAAAACTGGGCTAACCCTTTATTTTCAGTGAAAAGTCTAAAAATTTGCAAATGGTTTATGGCTGGAAACAAAATTCTAATACCATACAGAGTTTTTGTTTTCTTTTTCTGAGTGTGTGTTTTCTGTTCTGTGTGAAAGATTGATGAAAGAAATTGCTGGATATGATCATATTTTGTTCTTTTTCTATAGCCATAGGCTATCAAGTTGATCCCATTTCAATTCCAGGAAGTATACATATCACTCTATGAAATGATATGAGTTAACACCCTTCTGGCTCCAAGATGATAAGATATACATTTTCACAATGACATATATTTCATACCTAGATAGAAATGAAAAAGAATGAGATGGGATCAAAATATTAATAGACTCGATCGCTAAACTGAAACTAAAACTTAGCCCTCCAATTAAATTGATAGATCTTGGTATTAGCCATGTTAATTGATTCCGTTCAATCACATGAACACTCAATTAATAAGTTCATTGAAATTCTCCACTCATGGGATGGATTGCCATTGTTAGCTAGAAGCTGTTTTTCAATGGGGTTCGAGCCAAGATAAAACAATCAGAATAATCAATCATATTTAATAAAGAGTATATGAAATGTACAGCTGTCCCAAGTAATATAGTAACGCTTCACTGCACATCAATGTTAGCGTTAAGAGTTTCAGGAAATATGATATTACAAAAGGGCTTGTTGAGATCAGCTGCCGCAAAAAAAAATTCAGCTGTATTTTTCAAACGTGTAAATGAATGGAACCCGCATGCAACAAAGGTCCTACACATACCGGTCAATGAAGATTTCTTGGATAGATTAGGCGCAGTAGTGAAATCATTGTAACAGACCGTTTAAACAAACTCGTCCGCCCTCTAGCAATGTTGTGGTTTTAGTCAGTAACCATTGATTGTATGAAAATGTTATAAATACATGTAATAACATTGCTAAATAATGTAGTTTTCTTGTGCTTTAATAGAGAATTCCATCTACTGTAATAAATATGTATGTCATTGTGATGTAAAATGTAAAATCATATTCATAATAGTTGCATCCTACTTTTCATTTGATTGCAAAGATATAAAGACCAGGAGTGAAATACCCTTCAAAATCATACATCTGATGCTCAATGAATACATAAACAGATTTGTATTGATGAAAGTGTCTCTAGTTCCCACACAGCCAATCAGAGCTAGTGATTATGCTTTGATGAGGTAAATTGACACACACACAGATGGAGTCATACATGTAGATCTGTATCTATTGTCCCGTCTCTACTAGAATCTTGGTAGTTGTGAAATCATTGTATCTGCTGTACTGTTGTTAACCGGTTTAAACAAACTTGTCTGCCCTCTAGCAATGTTGTGGTATTGCTCGGTAACTTTCTATAGTCTGACAAATGTTATTTGTTAACATTGCTTTAACAGTGTAGTTTTCATGTGCTTAGGCAATTCCATTATGCATCTACTGAAATGAATATGTATGCCATTGTGATGTAAAATCACAAAGATGTACATCGTAGTTGTGTGATCCTACTCTTAACTTGATTCAAAGATATACATATGTAAAGACCGGGAGTGAAATATCCTTCAAAATCATACATCTGATGCTCACTCAAAACATAAACAGATTGGTATTGATGAGAGCGTCTCTAGTTCCCACCCAGCCAATCATAGCTAGTGATTATGCTTTGATGAGGTAAATTGACACACGCACAGATGGAGTCATAGATCTGTATCTACTGTCCCATCTCTATTAAAGATCTTCTTGCCTGAGCCTGAGGCACACACACACACACATATTAAAGCATGAAGCCATTTCTATCATGCTATCTCTTTCTTTCATCTTCCCCTCCCTCCCTCTCTCCCTCCCTCCCTCCATGCATGGTCTTCATCCATCGCAGTCTTGCAGGCAGCTTTCGGAGAGATCGACACAGAGAAGAAGGGGACGATAGAGACCGGTCTGGTGCCACAGCTGATCAGCAAGCTACTCGGAGACGCATCCCTCAAGAAAGGCTCCCTGCTCCAGCTACGAGCCAACACCAAGGCGAAGAACGGTGAGTGCTTGCTTGCTGCTAGGCTTGGGATGGAATGGGATGAGAGTAGTCTGCAGGCACAGACTGTAATATATAACACTAAACCTCAATTCTTAAAGCATTAAAGATATAGACCTGTAGTGGTAAAATTGTGGTTCAAGGGTTTTGGGTGCAAAATATCCATTCAATATTGTTTAAATATTGCCTTCAGAGGTTTAGATGGCAATACCTAAACCTAAATTCCCCAAAAAGCAGAAATATATGCCCAAATGTTCAATGTTGAAGTGCATTCGCGATATCTATACAGGCCGGATGGATATAATAATTTACCAAATATATCAATTAGTAGGCGGTTTCCAGGGAAAATTTGTGTCATCACGTTTCATTAGAAACAAGGTCTTGACCGTCTTTCACATGATTGGTAATAACAGCTTCCATTTCATTTTTTGAGAGGGGGGGGCATTTCCAAAACTGGTCTATACCTTTAAGCTGAGCCTAGCTCTGTCAGTCCCTGGCTGTGTGCAGCGAGCTACAGTACAGAGCCTATGGTGTGCAGTTGACCGTGCAGTCACCATAGTCTTACAGTTGCAGACACTATTAAGCACATCGACTGCTAATGATGTGTGCCTGCAAACTAGAACGGGAGGGATGAACGGGGAATGATGCCAGGTATAGGAGGAAAGAATGATATGTGCACAGCGTGATACTAACAGGAACTGATAGCTCTCTACATTCTGCGGCATTCTGCTCCATGGACCTCTCTGCATTCTGCTCCATGGGCTATCCATACCATCTTTTATCATCTCTGTTTATGATTTATTATCTTCGCATACTCCCTATGCTCTATCTTCCCCTGTACTTCATACCTTATTACCCTTACTCGTTACTCTATCTCAAGCCTGTTTAGCTCTGTTTACTACCATCCCTCCCATCTCCCTACTATCATGCTATGCACAGTACATGTATAACGTGCCTCTGTCTCACAACTCTATGTTGATGAGGAAGGGCTATGTCAGAAGACTATATTTTTTCGTAATTTCCGGGAGATGGGGGATTCAATGACTTTCTGAATTAGGGTAGAGATGCATTTCTATTTTCAATAAGGGTGAAGTAGGCAGTCATAATTGCCTGTGTCAAGGTAATAAAGTTATGCATTTTGACCCTCGAACGGGATCCTCATTGCAACACAATAGAGAGATAGATGTAATTTTAAAGATTTTTTTTATAGATCAGGGAAAGGTAAGGGTATTGAATGGTGACCAGATGATAAATTATATTTCAATCTTAACTATTCCATAATAATGTCTGGTAGTTTAAAGATGAAGTTGAGTTCTGGTCATGCGATTGCGTTGTGAAAGAAACGGTGTGGAATCGACCAGAAAAGGTTGATCATCTAGCATATAAGAATTTGTGTGTATTTCAAGGTTCTGGAATCATCAAAATGATAATAAATTTTGCCAAGTATTGGTAGAGTTACAAACACTGTACACAGAAAGATGTATATGGGACTACACGAACACGTGGCGTAAAAAACCTACCCCCCGAGTTTTACGATGAACATGACATATTTAGAATATGAAGGCATTTGAAGAGCCATGCTTTTCAGGGAACATGTCTTATCTAATGTTCTTCCACACTTGCATAATAATAATGATAAAGTTCACAAATTATTTTTCACCTCTTCCCAGAACTCAACCTTCTCTTTAAGCAAAATCTGCATACACTATTAAAAAATGTGTATATCTTTTTATTTTTATCAATTTTGAAAAAACAAAAACATGCAGTGGATATTGCATAGGCTTTCTATACCAGTTCTTGCCTGACATTGCATTTATGTAGCGGTATTAGGTGGGACCTAGGTCAGCTATTACAGTTAGCCAAATTTTGCATTAGTTATGTATTATATAGATTATCAAAGCCTTTGACCTAAATCTCAAACATGCATCTTCATTTTATTGAGATGGCAGTTATTAATACATACTGTATATATCAGAGTTCGCTGTAGAGAGACATTGCTGTTTTCTGTGGTTTCATTTTAGGATATGCTTCTAGCTTCTAGATATTGATATTGATAGTGTTTGTGGAGCTCATGCACTTTGTAGTAAGGTCATATTTTCTCATTATAGTCGATCCTAACGGAGTGCACTCCCCTTCTATGTGAATTTATTATCTTAAATTTTCCACTGGCATATCCAGCTTGTAGTTGGTGTATACTTCCCCATTTTGAAGGCCTAGCTGGAATAGGAAATCTGTACAATTTCCATGGGGTTTCTTGCACACAGGCAGCTTAGGTATGCACCCTCAAATGTTTGTCTTACGAAGTTGTGGATATGCCTGTTATTTCTGACAAAATGTCCTGTTAATAATCAATATTTGTTAAATGTTTTGTTTGATTGAACTTAGCTGACACTCTGACTTCTGATTGGTTTTGTTATTCAAAGAATAGCATTCTTGCTAAATCAATTTGATATTCCTCTAGGTACATATGTTGATCCACTTTCATATATATCCCAGTGTTATTTTATGACCAGCTGTTTGTTTCATATCTTTAAACTTGCAAAAAGCTAAGGGTACCCCAAGGTTTTGATCTTGCTTCTGTTGGATAAATGTTTCTAAATTGAAATGCTCTCCTGGTAGCAAATTCTAAATGAAAGCCATGTGTGAGAGGCCTCCTGATATGATATTTCAACACAGACCATATTGACAATGTTCAGCCCAACCAAGGGGGCCTTTCACAAAACCTTTTTTTTAATGACAAATGACAAAATCAGTGACAAATCTGCTGTTGACCAATCGGAAGCCAGGATTTCAGTAGCTTATAACAAAAAATGTCATTTGTCACTGATGACAAATTTTTGTGAAATGCCCCCCAGGAGTCCAATTCTGTCAGAAATTATATAGAAATGAGAAATAAGAAGAACAGGCCTTATCGTTTTCACTTTTCAGTATATCTGTCATTCCAAAGCTTGGCATAAAATATCAAAACATTAGAATTCAAAATTGTTGATGAGCAATGAAACCTTTCCCCCATTTCTAGATATCCTTATATGGCTAAAAAGGGAACAACTTACAAGTGATATTGATTTTTGGTTGGGAGCTTTATAATCATCATAACCAGAGAATTAATATTGAGAGAATTTTATGAGATTGTCGGCCCCTATCTTTTATTAAATTTTATTGCAGTGCCTTCAGGGAGAACAGTATTAATACTAATGAGGCTACCCTGGCTAAACAAGACATATTAATGCATATTATCATAGATTCATGTTTCACACAACCTTCAGGAATGATTTTTCAATATCTTTAAAGCTCCTCTTAAAGTGTTTGGAGCCCCAAAAATTTGATGGCAAAATTTAACTTTTTAAACTGTATCATAATGTGAAAGAGGCTGTTCAAAATAAATGAAGTCAAATTTGAAGTCAAATATTGATGAAAGAATACAACATTTAGGTTTTCTGCGTATAATTAAAAACCCAAATTTATCAATATTTGTCTTCAAACACATTTTTTTGGAGGAAATCTTTTCTTAAGTATGTATTAGATGATATCCTCTTTCACATTGATACAATTTTAAGTGAAATTTTGCCATCAAAGTTTTGGTGAATTTGAGGCTCCCAACACTTTAGAGGGGCTTTAAAAGAAGTCTCATAGTAACTTTGAATTGATTAAAACATGTGCACACCAGGAATGTAGAGCTTTCCTTTCCCTCACACCTTTCAAAATCTATTTGATAAAGCATGATGAAATCACTTGAGTAGCAGTGCTTAGGAGAATTTTGAAGAGGGATATCAAGTCACTATTTCTTCCTTCATTTTAGGCCTGTCCTCATCAGACCTAAGTTGGAAAATAACCCGCTATTTTCAGACTCGGGGATATTTTCCTGAAGCTCGAAATTGCGTCTTTACCAGACCGATACGCTCATCACAAACTAGCTCAGACGGGCGCAAATTAGCCTGCTATTTCCTCTAATAGCAGGCTATTTTGGAAACAAGACCGAGATTTCTTGTGATGTTTTCTCAACCAAATAGTCCACTAATTGCAACTGCAGGCTGATGAAAACGCAAACTAGCTGGCTAATTTGAGATCAAGCTAGTTAAAATAGCGGGTTATTTTGCAACTTCGGTCTGATGAGGACAGGCCTTTTGAGCTAGTGAAACTGTTAACAATCCCCACTTAGCCCTAATGCAGCAGTGAAGGATTCAGCTCCTTGGATTTTAGGTTCCTCAGATGATGTCAATTGTTGAAGTTACTCTCTTTAATTCGTGGGGTAATCGCATCTAACCTAAGTGATGGGGGAGGTGGGCAGGGATGTAACCATGTGGAAAGGAAAGATATGAAATTAGTGCAAAATCTAAATATGCAAAAACAAAAGTACAATGTTTAATCGTTTTAAATCTTACATTAGGAAAATTGACTGCTTTTTGAGCTACATGTACATGTACATGTAAGTCTGAATTTTTAGGGCATAATGTGCTTGGATGTTGAAGAAATATATATGCCTATAAAAGTATACTCATCTATAGCTAGAGAAAAAATTCTTCTAACATTAATGTTGTTTTTGTCTAAAAAAGTAACACAGCTGTATAGTATAATGCAGTATGGATGGGTGATGTTGTTATGTTTCTTTCGAGAAGATATATCCTATGATAACGGGTTACATGTGGGAGACTGTAATTGGTTTGAATCTGCAGAAATGTTATGTTTAGCGGGCAGATATACATGGATAGATAGACTTGTTTCAAGGCAAAAACTAAATGTTTCAGAAAATATGTGTAGTCAATGACCTTGATTGTAGAAATTAAACGAGGTAATGAAGATGTGGAAGTCTATAAATTCCAAAGTCTTTTTTCTCAGCAGTATTTCACATTTTCAAGTGAAGATTAAAGTATTCAAAATGCATCTATATTTTTGTTAAACTGCCCAAAAAAGAAAACATTGTAAAAGTTATATTTTGATAGTACCTTGAAATTGCTTTAGCTTCTCTATCTACATACACATGTATGTTTACAAAACACAGAGTCCAGAAATGTTTATTATCACCTACCAATTTCATTAATTTCATTTTTTTGAGGGGTGGGTGGGGGGGGGGGGCAATTAAGCTGTTGGTGTATCTTCTCTTTGGATTTATACAAAATGACCAATTTGATTTAACTCTATCTCAATGAGATGGGGAAAAACTCTGCTTCTGCCTTGAAGCCAGGCTACCAGTTGGGATGCAGTCCACATGTCTTGAGGTGCTTTGTGGTCATCCTCTGACAATCTCATTTCCTCCCCCATTCCTGGGAGACGGGGATGATGCTCCGATCCTAGGATTTCTTGGACTTCTGCGGTAGCGGGGCTTAATCCAAAGTTGAAAGATTGGTAACCTATGGTGGCTGGCCTGGTCGAATAGAGAGAGAGAGAGAGAGAGAGGGAGAGAGAGAGAAAAATGGACTTTGAAGATGGTAGCCATGTAACAAGGCCCCTAAAAGGGGCAGTTTAAAAAGATGGAAACATCTTGGGAGTTCATATTTTTTGTGAGCTATATTATATTTTTCCAAATGCTATATTTATTCTTTGTTATGGGAGTCCTTTCAAAATTTCACAGGATAATCAGGAGGGTGTGCACCAACGGAAAAAAAACAATGACATAATCAGGTTATGAATTTTGATCTCTTTCCATAAAGCTTAGATTATTATGCAGGAGAGATATTATGTTTCTTAACCCATGTGACCCCTAATACGGTACTCATTAAGCTACAAAAAGTCACGTAGCTCCAATACAGTTTTTCTTGCACTTAGACATAGTATTATGGTTTATGGGGTATAAAAAAAGTATGAGATATACTGGTTGGTACAGGTCTATATATGGAACCACCCGACTACCAGCAGATCTTTTGATGATTATAAAGTCATTTATGGTCTCTACATGCACATCTGCAGGGCCTATCTGTGTAACATTAAGATTAAATGTGCTTAATTTTATATAGATTACTTGGAGAAATCATTAGACTGTAGTGCTGTAAGACACACATGTGTATGAAGCGATGGTTGTATCGCTTTGTGTGAAAGGGCCTATATTGAATGGGCTTTGCAGTTGATCTTTGGACATTAAGCAATCTTGATTCATCTGTGGATATTTCAAAGGAACTGTTGGGGGATCATCGATTGTCTCACCTATGTATGGCAATTCATCAGCAGGCTAAATCTTTCTAGAATTATTCTGCAGCAAGTACGTTTGATGGAAAAAAAAGTGATATGAATACTGTATAATCCGAAACTTTCATGTAGATGAAATGTATCCTGAATTTTGTGAGTCATTTAGATTTTGAAAGTCTCATGAGATTAAATTATTCAATCACAACTAACACTACACTGATATTTGGAACTCACAAAATATTTTTGCCGTGAAAGTCACTCTCGTTTACAAATTATGGGAGTTTCATGTTGCAAAAATGTCTGGTTTCACAATAATGTCTACAACTTACTTTGTGACTTAAGTTGCATTCATTGAACAATGTTGAAGCACTGATGGTAATTCTCTTTCTTTGATGCAGGAGTTGTACAGTTTTCTGAATTTGTTACCATCATGTCGGAGACGATGTCACAGACGACAGAGTGGGGTGCCCTTAAGACCGAGATCAACGGCTATGTAGGGATCGACACCATACAGGAACAGATCAGGAAGAAGGCACTGAAGAGGGGCTTTGATTATAACATCATGGTTGTAGGTAAGATCAAGTACACCTAGGCCAGTCATAAGCCTTATAGAGTACCGAAGCTGTGACATCATAAAAATCTATTTTTAGAATTTCTCAATTTTGTTTTCATTTTCCCAAAGAGCATCAAAAATAATTTCCAAATGTCGAAAGCCAATTAAATATATGTTAAGTATTGGCTGAGATATGACCATTTGAATAAAAAGATTTCCTATAGGAGCTCAGTGTTATTTTGCTCTGATTCGTAATGTTATAAACCAGGGCAAAATAACACTCTAAATACATATTATCTCACTCCTATCTTTTGAAAATTATATGTTCCAGAGCCTCTTTATTTCAACACCCTATATGATCCAACACAATCTACATGTTTGTTTCACAGGTGTCGGTCTAAAAAAACTGAATTCTTCTCATGGAACATTGCACTTTTGTATGGGGTTATACAGATGTTGGAACGTTGGATATGGGATCACAGTGCTCTCAGAACAGGGTGCCATTATCAAATGCCCCTTGAAAGCTAGTTATATTGATGGAAGCATGTTATATTAGAGGGGAAAGGAGAACAAAAAATATTGTCTAGGTTTTTTTAAAGGATGTCTAGGGTTTTTTGAAGGCTCCTTTTTACAGGAAGGAAGGAATAGGGTATGGTGTGTCATATTTTGTGTTGCACATACTAAATACTTAATATTTGCAGTTTGTATTGTGTCCATGCTACTAAATGTTGCACCATTGTGACAAGGATTCAAGGAGCTGACATACATATGGATGTTGTTAAACTGTTCATTTAACACCTAACGAAACACACATCCATCTTCAAGGTTAAAGAAGTAGGATTGATCTACAACAAGTGTGAACATGATCACGTTCATGATCTTTCATCTTCAAAGTGCTAAAGTGCATTTAAAGCTGATCAATTTACAAAGTCTGATTGTAAAAAAAGATGGCTCTAAAGAAATCGTCCATTTTTTTATACATTACCGGTAGATCAGAAACTTATGTTCTGTTATTTTTTTAAATCTGAATTTAAAACGCCATCAAATAATATTGAGATTATCAGTACAATGCTATTTTAGCTCTGAATGAGAGAAGGCCATCAAAAGACAAAGTAAAGCAACTAACCTACTGCATGATATACAACACATTTTAGAATTACTTTAAGCCATTTTTCATTGTCAAAATGGAAGTTCATAATGTATAATTAGCTTTAAATTGAAAGAACCAGGTCATATCTTCATCATCCCCAATTTTGATATAGACTAAAGATGTTGTTATGAAATTGACTCGTAAATAGAGCACCATTATCTTGCTCTGACTTTTTGATTATTAAAACCGGTATGTACCCTGCCCAGCCCATTTATGTAAATGTGTTGGGAATTAGTCCTCCTTTTGGCATAGCATAATGCTTACCATTGTAAAAAAAGCTTTTGATATATGACAAGCAAGGGTGAAAGTGGATAGATTAGGTATTCACTATTCAATTACACCCAAGACTCCATAGTGACAAAAAAGGAAACTCATGAAGGCTTTCTAGGTGGAGTCTTCTCCCCCCAAAAGCATCAAGAAAACTTCATGAGGACCTTCCCCCTGGGCAAATTAGCAATAATGAAATGAATAGAAAGGGGCTCGAGGATTAAACATGGTACATAATTGCTCAAATTTATCACTTTTAGGGTTCTCACCACTAGGCCCTGGGCTTAATTTGATGATAGGAAATCCCTGAATCTTGACAACAGAGAATGATTCTGTTCCAAGAGAAATCTTTAGAATTATAAATTGAAGTGAAATCATTGTAATGGGCTTTCTCTTTTTCCACTAAATTTAGTCCTGATTCACTGATTGTTCTCCTCTTCACAAATTGATGCAGAGAAAACCTACCTGATTGAAAAAAAACTCTGTCCATTCTTCATGTTCCGATTGAATGTGGATGCTTGCTTGAAGTGGGCTTCATAGTAACATGGTGAAAGGCATCCCAAGGTCGTTCACCTGATCACCCTTTACTTCGTTTTAAAAGTAGTGGGAGACAAAGTAACAACATTTGATAGTAATCTCTTAAAGAATTGACAGTTTGACGAGGCTATCTCTTCTTTCTTTCTCTCTCTCTCTCTTTTGATGGATGTTCAGAGGAAATCACAAGTCAAATGTTTCTATGATTTCTTTGCGAGTTGCTATACTGCAGATATTTGTCTAGTCTTCTCGAACCATGTACATGTGTTGTGGCACAGTATCCTGGGGATTATCGGTACTACATTTATAGTCCATCCTTCCATTCTCATTATTCACTTTTTTTCATGTTCACTAGAAGGGAGATATCCACATTATACAGGGCTTATTGGCTATTAATTTTTTGTTGGGGGGGGGGGGGATGGTAACTGGTATGCCTACAAGTTCTTTGAACCTTCCATGTCCTTTTTCACCAAATACTGTTAACTGAGTAATTTATTGCTTGCTAGTAATCACTTATTTGATTTCGACAACAAATTTTGTAGGGATTTGTGCATATCAAACAGAAATGTGTTTGATACTGACTAAAAAGAAACACCTTTTCTAGTTCTATTCAGGTATTTTTTTACTGAGAGATTGGAAATGTAAGGGTGCTATTGTTTTAGAGAATTGTGTAGGTTGTTAAGTCACACCTTCAACCCTTGAGAGATACATCATGGGCCTTTCTAAACATCCTAATCTGAGGAAATCTTCTCAGAGACCCAAAGAAAACATGAGTGAATGGAAGTGAGAAGCTCTGAAAAGTCTAGAAGAGGAAGTGGGTTCCGTTAGGTGTCTTATGGGTACTACCGTGAAAGAATACTTCCTCTCGATTTAGGGTTAGATATAGTATCACATCCTGACAATTGGATTGACCTGTTTTATATTCTTGTGAGACATACATGTACAAGGATTTTGTTTTCACTGAAGTTTGAGTAAGTTGATCCTGATGTCAGCATAAATGATTTACTGAGTTGAGAGGTGACTCAGCAGATCATTTATTTAGATGCCACATATATTTTCAATTTATTGTAACATATAGGGATCTGGAAATCAGATCACAAACACTTTCAAGTGTCAAGAAATCAGCTCTTGGGCAATTGTACTTCTATGCTCTTCATGTGCAGTGTATTTCATTTTTTATGCTTTATCCCCAATGATGAAATCAGCTATGATTTTATCGAACACATGTATATGTTGTAAGCAAACCTTCCCTTTCCCCTCATCCTGAAATCCTAGTGGTCTGGGGAAGTCCACACTGGTCAACACATTGTTCAAGGCCAAGATCAGAAGAGACCAATAAAGAATAATGACCATCTCGCTTCCCATGCATCAAGATTTCTGATTATTTTCCCCTTTTCTTCTAATTATTTTTGTCATCAGGGGCTAGTGGTCTGGGCAAGTCCACACTGGTCAACACACTGTTCAAGGCCAAGATCAGCAGACGGTCAGCAGAAGAGAACAGTGAAGAATTACCGCCACCCATCCCCAAGACGGTGGAAGTCAAGTCCATTAGCCATGGTAAGACACACGCAGGGTTGTTCACTGTTTAAGCCAATACCTTATTTTATAGGTACATGTACAGATACTTTTCGTGGATACCAGGGATACAGACATTTTGATGAGATGTTGTTTTTGCAGCGATTAAAACAGGCTGATTACACAATACATGCGTTGCTTACTTATTTGGTGTGTTGTTAAATTGGCAACTCCACAGCACTTCAAGTAATTTTGGGGAAATAATTGCTTATGCGGTAGACAGATTTATAAAAAAAGGCCTCTGATATTCATGTGGTTTTAATGTTTGGTATTGATTTTAGTGAGATATTGTAGACAGAACTTCAAAAGTATGAATAAAAAGTGCTTGTCAGAGCTTTTAAATGCTTAGTTGGCTATGTTCCCCCCAAAACACACAAAACATGAAGTTTTTGTATTGCTTAATTATTGAATACTGCCAACTAGTACTTGTACTTTTATACCAAATACTTTATGAAAGAGGGGGAGACAATAAAGAATGTATGGACTTTAGATCATCAGATCAAAATGAAACCTCTGCGGAAATAATAAAGGAAAGTTAAAGTAATGTATGTGAATATTGGGTAGATCTAACCCGCATGTGCAACCAGTACAGATGGTATGGTATGTACTCAATGAATATGAAGAGTGATCCACTAAATATGTATTAAAGGCATTTGATTTAAACAATGTTAAATCTGAGATGCACAGTCCTAGTGGTATCAGTGTCTGTGATATAGTACATTGAAGTGCTAAAAAATTTGCGCTTCAAAATGACAAGAAGTGCCTCAAAAAATTAAAAATCTTTGAGTGACCGGTTTTACCATACTCATTTTCCCCAATAGACTGTAGTGTTATGAAAAACGTTAGGAAAACGCAAAATTTGATTTCGATTTTCAATCATAAATATCTTGATAATCAGACAGGCTATCGGCTGGTTAAATTCATGGGGTTCCTGACTGACCTAAAGGTTTATAATCATCATTGCAGCATAGCTAAATCCAGGATTTTGTTTCAGAATCTGAGACAAACTTACCTAATCCCTTTAAAGGGCTATCTTGGATGTCATTGCTGAATACCCTGTTGCTTCTATTTGCGTGTAGAAAGTACTTCAAATGCAATTATAGTTATTATGCTACCGTCAGGAGAAGGTGTATTTGTATAATCTAACTTTCTCTTTCTCTTAGGTATTTATAATGTTTTCTAATCGAGGGGTAGACAGTTTAAATTAAGATTAGATATAAAACAGCCGTGATGTGAGAATAGTTTCCTGATTGATGACAATTTAATTGTTACAGCAAGAACAATATTTCATTTGTGCCTGACAGTGAAACAATGAAACAATGCATTCTTTTGGCCCAAGTTTGTGGCCTCTGTTTTAAAAATGTTTATTTTTGGTTTAAGTATACTAGGTCGAATTTAGGTAACGGTTGTCCATAATTTGGGGAAACCAGAAAGATACCTTCAAAAAAATAATTTTGAATGGTTTACATGACCTGAAGAATGGTGAAATAGCTAAGAAATTTACTTTCCAAAGAGTATGTAATTATCTATTCAGGTTCTGCAAAGCTTGTGAAAATTTGGAAAGATTAATTTGACTTTTTCTTGTAAAATTTATTATTCAGAATAGCCAATAGAAAAAAATTGGAACAGAAAATCAATCAAATTCCTAGTTCACAGTTATATAATTTGTTTTAATGCTGCACGTACATAAATAAAAGAGACATACATAATAATAATAATATCTAAGATTTATATAGCGCTGGTATTTCTAAGTGCTTTACAAAACGAATAAAATGATAATTATGTTTAATCTAAATATGTAATAAGCATCAACAAGAAACGTGAAATGAACTCTTGACACTTTAAAACGTAGACTCAAGACTTAAGACCTTCCTACACTGTATCCAACACAAAGTAATTCCCCATCTTCATACCTAATTTATAACCACATGTCCTATCTTCTTGTAATTTATTCATTATCCAGAGTAAATAATTATTGCAGTTTCATTTATGATGCTTATTTGTCTTTTCATTTTCATTATCATGTTACTGTTAATACACTGTTAGTTAATTAAAGAGCATTTGTTTCGTCTAAATTAAGCACATACATGCATTTACTCTCAGCAATGAAAACTATTAGTTGACCGATTGTGTGCATTTATTTAATGATTTGAAATGTTTGTTTCATGTCTTAACTTTTTCCAGTAATTGAAGAGAACGGAGTGAGATTGAAACTGACCGTGACAGATACACCTGGCTTTGGGGATCATATCAACAATGAAAACTGGTAAGTTTACCTGACAGAAGGGCCTACATTGTTTCCTTAAAGCCCCACTGCACTACTTATAGCTACTTGCACCCTCTATATAGCAAACAATACCTAATCGGTGACCATTGGTCTGCCATGGTCCTCTTTTTCTTATGTTCATTGAGAGCTTATTTGATGAGATAACCACCCGTCAGTGACCATGCAGGGAGGTCTAATCCTTCCTGGTGAGACTATTATGGTAGGGCTTTAACGCATGATCTCAGGATTAGAGCTGCCTTGATATTATTGTTATACTGACCTATTTGACAATAGATCGGAAGTGTCGGACTGCAATTGTTACATATATTGTTTTGATGTTTCAAGGTTGCAAGGCGATTTCTAGGAGGAAAATGTGCTTCATAAAGATTTAGGAATTTTTGTTGTGCTAGCCTGTTGAAAGAAGGTCTAAATATCTGTAAATTTACAAAAGAAAGAAATTATATTTGAGAACTTCGATTGGAATGTACCCATATCCTAATTGTTTGTATTAAGGTTTTTTGAGCTATAGCGGAAAATTGATTGGTCAGAACATAAACATCCACAAGGTTCATATAAAATGTTGATTTTTTTTTTTTTTTGTACAGTAAGATCAGGAAGTTGGTGCCATTTAATGTTCATGTACATGAATGTTAGGAAACAGATCAAGCACTAAGAAATAGTGCACCTCTACATTTTTAGAACGAGAAATGCTAAATTATTTTGCTCTGTTATTTGTCTTTCCTTAGTTGGATTCCAATAGAAGAGTATATCAACGAGCAATACGAGAAGTACCTATCAGAAGAGATCAACATCAGTCGTAAGAAACACATTCCAGATAGCAGAGTCCATGTATGTCTCTACTTCATAGCACCCACAGGTCATGGGTAGGTCGACAGAAAGATAGATATATTAATATCTGTCACTTTATTTTGTCCAGAATTCATTTGATAAATTCTTTTGATTTTCATTCTATATTTTCTATACATAAGCCAATGTTTCCTTATTGATGTGATTTGTCTTACCGGGTACCTATTCTGATATATGTGTTATTGTTCTTTTTCAAAACATAGATGGCAGTATACTGATTACTGATGTGGGCTGGAAGGAAGATGTGAAACAGGGGGGGGGGGGGGAGAGAGTTTTTGGTATGTGGTTGGAATGTGTGGTAAGATATGAGATACATTTCCAGTAAAATATGAATGAATCTAAAGTTAAAGCTGTGTTTGTAAATTAAAAGCACAATAGGGGGCATAAGATTTTATGTAGTCTAAAGCCCACCACACACTGTATGATCTGAAAATGATCTGATTTTTGGAAGAATTTGTAATGGCATTTGATATGAATATTCAATTAGGTAAAATCTTAATGATCAAGGATCAGAATTGTTATATGAGTAATAATATTTAAATTTCAAGGAATTTAATGCTTCTTTAGGAGAGAAAAAAACTAAATCAGCTCAGATTCGTAGTGATGTCAGACCAGTTGTGTGTTTGTATATACATGTATATGATTTGGAGCCGATTCAGCCTTTATTCTAACTAGAAGGGTTAAATTCACTAATATTCCATTTGATAGTATTCCTATTATTATATAGAAATTAAATCATTCAGATGATGTTTGTTTATAATATATTTATAATATAATTGCAATGTCTTCGAAATCCAGATCGCAGGAAGATCGTATAGTGTGCGGTTGGCCTTTAATGGGAACAAGCAATGCAGGTGTATAGTGAATGTTGTTTAATTTTTTTTTAAATTTCAAATCAACATTTAAAAAATACACAATTGTCATCATCTCTCAATCATTCTTTTCTCTTTCTTCCCTTTTTTCTTGCTTTGTTTGCAGATTAAAACCTCTAGACGTTGAGTTCATGAAGAGGTTGGCCAAGGTGGTCAATGTTGTACCAGTTATCTCCAAAGCAGACACACTCATCATTGAAGAAAGACAGCTCTTCAAGAAGAGGGTGAGGATTTGTAATCTCAACATTAGACATTTAATATGTTTAACTATTAACCCTTTGCCTACAAGAACTGGATTGTTCCTGTATTAAAGCCTATGGTTATAGCATTTTGCATTATCTTAAACCTGTAGGTATGATCTCAAGCATGAGATATTGATGTTTCTTCCCTGTATTTTCTTGCTTTCATAAAATCCCAGTGCTTGTGGAAATCAATGAACAGTGATAATAAATGAGTTTGAAGACGAATATTGATGAAAAAATACAAAAATTAGGTTTTACCCAAGTGTTTCTATTCTTTATCAATATTCATCTTCAAACACAACACATTTGTTTTGAAAATCCTTGCAGAGTTGAGTGTTATATGACATCCTCTTTCACATCGTTACACAATTCAAGTGAAATTTTGCCATCAAATGTGTAAGCGAATTTGGGGCTCCCAACACTTTAGACAGGCTTTAAATGGACAGAGGTTGCTTGGCAAAACTCAGAAACTGTTCCTAAACATGTCATATATATATCATGAGAATGTTGATGATATTTTGATTTCAGATAAAAATGGCACTGAACAAGAACACGATCGAGACCTACCCCATGAAGAATCTGGAGGAAGACGAGGAGGACACAGCTCTCAATGATGCCCTAAGGGTAAAGCCACATTCATAACTATTTTTTAAAAGTCAACTCAGGGCCAATGTCAATACCCTATCGTAAAACCCATAGAAATCGTATTTGGATTTTGCAGTATATCACTGTAATGTACTGTAGGTTTACGGTTGCACCATGTGAGAGAGGTGGGGGGGGGGGATTGGGGAGTCCTGAAAAGGACTGTCAGTAATCTTTCTTTCTTGAGTGTGTGTGTCGTTGTGAAAAGAATTGTAGGTAGTCTTGAAAGAGACTGTTGGTCTCTCCCCTCTTTCTCACATGGTGCAACCGTAAACCTACTGGATATCTACATCACCATGCAAGCCGATACTTATAAGCAGCATCACTGTAATGCTCGCACATTTCAAGGTGATGGACTATTGGAATTGCCTTTAGTTGATATTTCAGAAGGCCTTGCGATCATTTTGTATACTTACATGTGTAAAATAAAAGCACACCTAGCCAGCATGCATACTTGTAAAATGAAAACATTTCTAGGCCAAGATGCATCTGCTAGCTTACCTTCATGAGGTAGCGTAGAGGTGCGTTAACTGTTCCAGGAGAGCACTTTAGGCTAGTATGGAGACGGAGGCATTCCAAACCAGTCTTGAATTGGAATTCAAATCATTGGCTGCCTACGAGAAGGCCCTTTTTTTACTGGGGAACTTTCGGCGTGAAAATTGTGATGGCACAGTGAAGTGTTCAACTGAAGATTCTTTTCTGTTCCTGTCAATAGAACCACTTTATTTGGAAGGTTTAAATTTAGTCCAATGTTGTCATTAGGGTAAACTGCATAACAATGCATTAAGCAGTTAAGGAGAGTGGTTAGACCTTGAGCCTTTGTATCCCTTTGACGATTATGTCCTAAAGAAAACACACTTCAGCTTTTCCTGATCTCAATTGAGTGAGGTCTAGTAAATAATGATAATAATAATAATAATAACAATAACAATAATAGCCTAATAGTCCACTCCAAATTTTATTAAACCGAAACGGAAATTCTTTTTGCCCAATTGATCGTGAGCCCGGCAGCCACTGAGCAGCACCAGATCGACGTTGCTCTATCCCTGGCTGACCGAAATACCTTAGAAATTCTTTTTAATCAAGAATTGTGGTTGTAAGGTATTGTAAGTCTTACTCCTTTACAAAATGATGCACTCAAACTGTGCCCCCTCCCCCTAATAAAAATAATTAAAAAACACCTTCGATGTGCAAGAAACTTTGCAAAATTTTCTTGCTTAGATATTAATAATTCATTAATTGACTTTAATATGAGAAAACGGTCTATACATGTATTATGATTGTGGAAATTTTGAGGCCTTACAGCTTGCAAAATTCTGGGTTTTACTTTTTATTTTTAATCTAGGTATTGTCGTTATCCCTTCAAAATATGCAAACTTTGCAGAGATTTTGATGTACCATATGTTCTTTCTATGATTCTCTTATTCAAAATGTTTCTTTTTTTTTCTCTCTCAGGACCAAATGCCATTTGCTGTAGTGGGAAGTGATAAGCTTCACGAACTTGATGGACGAGAAATCCTGGGAAGACTTACAAATTGGGGTCTAATTGAAGGTAAACAATCACTTAGTATATTTCAGAATGGATCTTCTTTAGATTTTCAGGGTTTCGACATTGTCATTGAGAATAGAAGCAACACAAATTTATGAAGAAGGCTATTTTTTAATGAGAAATCATGACTTTTTAAATTTCTTTACATATGATGTAGGAGATATATTTTATAGATATTTAAATGCATTGGCAGACCTATTGTCATTTAATTGGGGAGATTATCAGAGGGATGTATAAGTACATTATAAAATGTTTGACATTCCCCACGGAAAGAGGGTAAATGTCTGTAACTCTCAGTTTAAAAAAATGAAGAAAACAAAATTCAAATAGAAAATATTATGTGGACACATTACCCCTTTTTCTGGATCCTCCATTCATATGTTGTTTTTTTCTATCTCTGAAAGTAAGCAAACATATTTCATTCCCCAAAATATCCAATTTAAGAAGAAAAATATTGGCCCAGTTAGATTTATTAAATCAGAAGAGCTAATAATTTTCAAAAAAGCAATGAATCCATGTTCAAGATTTCAAAATGTATATTCTGGTGAAGAGATTTTGGCCATATCATTACTCAGAATTGTCTTCCACATTTTGACAAAAGTTTGAAGAAACTAAAGCTTACCAAAAACATAAACATTTTTTTTTACTGATTGTGAGAGAAAGAGTTTCTCATGTCTTCCACATTGTTTATCCTGCACAGTTGAGAACCCGAACCACTGCGAGTTCTCCAACCTGCGTGACATGCTGATCAGAACCCATCTCCAAGACCTGAAAGAAATCACAGACACCATCCACTACGAGAACTTCCGCTACGAGAGACTCCAAGCTAGACAGAAGTACGATAAAGCAGATGAAAGTAGATGTTGAACATATCATGTTATTATTATCCCATGTATATACTAAAGGGTCCTCTAATTGAATTCTAAAGGAATCATTGTGCTGATGAAGGATACTCTAATTTTATTGTGCTCATTACCATGCCCTTATTTAAAGGTAATACAAAGTTTTGGGAAATTTTGGAAATTGGGTGGGTAGTGAATCTTTACCATTTTGATATATTTGGATGCCCCTGTGGATGTATTATAAGCACTAAAAAAATTAGCCCCTAAAAAAATTCTGTTTTCGAGAAAAATTGAATATAAAAATTTACCGGTGCTCCCGGTAAATTTTGATAAATTTCAAATAGCGCTTATGGCCGTACATTGGTAGCTGCGACCATGAAAATCTCAGAATATGAAGTTGGGATATATAATTTCCAAACGGGAATATCTAATCGCTCGATTTTAGTCAAGAAACATTGTTTCATAGGTATATTAATATCTTCACCTTGAGAGGGAGCTATACAACATAAAGAGTTTATTATTTATAATTTCATAACTTTAGACTCGATTTCAACCGCGACAACGATCAATTTATATTGTAGGAACGCATATGCTTCCAATATGTTAATTTGAACCAAATTCATGACCCCATACCAAAACTTTGTAATACCTTTAACATTAACAACATTGGATTTTATTTTATTATTTTTTGTGGAGGTGAAGTTCAGAAATGTTAATTTTTTACTCAAAATGGAAAAGTTAACAGGAACATCTTGTGGATTGTGTTTGCACTAGAAAATGTGTTCAAAAAATGTTTTCACTTATGTGTGTGTAAATGAGTCTCAAGCTATCCTATAACTTCGACTTATATACAGGGTGTGTGTACCTGTAAATAAAAACAATGCACATCAATATATATATATATATATATATATATATATAACACACACATACATGTAGGCAATTCAATTTTTCAAATGAAGTTCCTGTTGTATTTTCATTTGAAATACAAGGTTGTGGTTCCAGTTAACATTCCCTATTTAATATATAATCACAAAAATAGTTTAGAGTCTGACAGATCAATGTGGTGATTTGAATAATATAGTAGAATAACAAACTATTATTTCTTCTTTCCTTGATTGTCCTTTTTAAACCTCTTCTGCTTACCCTCCCAACATTTCTTCCTCCTATTTTATTACATTCTTGTAGAAGTACTATTTTCGTTCATATTTTTATCTCTCTCTCTCATTTTTCCCATTTTGTTCATTTTCTATCCCTACAGCACCAAGAAATGTGACTCGACTACCAAGTAAACCCCACCCACCCCAACCACCACCCGTCCTCCTCTGTGTCTATCTGTTTGTTTGTCCTGGTGTCTGTACATCTGTCCTTCTGTCTGTCTGTCTGTCTCCACCCTTACAGTGCCTGCATCCACCTACAGTTTCTACTCCCAAACCTGTTTGATTCCATTCCATGTTTTAAATTTTAAATTTTCTAATCATTCACCTAACGTATCTTTTGTATTTGGTGGTTGAAAATTGCAATTTAGCTTTCATCACTTTTCATATTAACAGCCATCTCATTTCGTCCATCACATGCTAGTGTTGTGCATTTATTCACCACTGTTTTATCTGAGACAAACTTATCTTCAACAGCGTGATTCAAGTCACATAAAGTTTGCTGTATGTGTTTTTGTAATTTTCATGTACTGATCTCATTGCAACTACTGCATAGTTCATTTTTATGAGATGATATATTGTTTTTTTGTATATTTCCACCCTATTCATAATCTTGTACAATTTGTGCACATCGACCTGATAAATTTTGGTTTAAGAGCCACTTGAAATGAATTTGAATGAAGTGAAACCATTGTGATTACAGAAAATCCATTGACATTAAACTTAATATTGTTTCATGATGCCACGTGAGCTGCTGTTAAAATGCTTTCTTTTGTCAACTTTCACCTCCTTCTTCTATTTTCATGCTGGATTGTAATTTTAATCTAACATATTTGGAGCTCCATTTGTCTAGTAATACATCTCTCATTATCCTATTTTTCCACTGCATCATATTTTCCACCCACCACCATAAACCTTATACATGTGTGAAACAAGGATATGAATAATCTCCATTTCATGAGTGTCACACTTCCACTTAATTAACTCATACTTTTGTATATCACTTCATTACATCACATGTATCGTCTGCTTAGAGCCAGAAGGGCATTAACTCTGTGCAATATGACGTGAGTTATACGCTTCTCGCCCTCGGCACACAGTTTCCTTTCACCCCCCCCCCCCCCACCACTTTATGTATGTTTTTCAGGTAACATAAGCATTATGTGTGAACAAACCAACCACCAAACATTTGTTTTTCAGTGTGTGCTACATCGTTATACACAAATAATGTCCATTCATCATACATGTGTTATACGCCAGTTCCTAATATCTTTCTCATAAAGTCGGCTCATATCTGAAAGCATGCAGAGTACTTATATGTTGCATTATTATATGTTTGATGTTGACATGGATGATTGGAGTATTTAAAATGCAAATGTTTGAAGGTGCTGCCATATTCATGAAGAATTGGACTTTTAAAAAAAATCCTTTATCTTTTTTAAATAAAAACAAGAAAGACATGGCATAGGACATTGAACAAAATATATGCAGAAATATGCAGAAATGCTGCAATATCAGAATGTCTTCCAGAAACTTTTCCATGTGTTTTTTTTTCTCACAGTAGTAACAGGAAAATTTAGACATAATTCAGCTGTATAATTGTGTTAGCTATGATTGAAAAAGTGACTATATAGATGAGAGTTGAAAAAGAAGAAGTATTGTGTCGTTTTTGCTGCTATTTACAACACAGTGCCTTTTTATCTTATTGTGTTCTTCATCATTTCACAATCATCTGTTAATTTATAATTTATCATGCTTTCAACTGCATCCACATTTACTAACAAGTTACTAAAGATCTCTTTTTGTTGGTTTGCAATCTACTATTGCATATATATATATATATCTTCATCTATATTATGAACCAACGAATCCATACAGTATTATATATATGTATATGATGGATTATAAACCAACAAATCCATACAGTAATATATATGACGGATTTGTCGGTTCATAATAACGCCAACGATATTTTCACATTCCTTTGTGGACTTAACACAATTTATTTTGAAGACCAAGAGCAGTCTGTTTTGTTTAAATGTATCAAACATTTTCCATCACAATTGGCAGAAAGATAAGTTTTGTCAAAATGATGGCATTCTTATTTTTGTTACATCTGCACATTTGGAATTTCATTGGACCATTCCATAAAATGTTGTGTTACATGGAGCGTCAATATTCAAACGTAATCAAATATGTAGTCAAACAAAATGTCAAACAAGCAACATCACATACACGGCTCTCAGTTGAAGTGTATACATCCATTTTTAATTGCTTGAAATGACCAAGGTTAGAAGATGCTTGTTGATATAAAAGCTGATATTTGCAAAGAAAGTATGTTTTTTTTCCATCATGATTAAAACGATTTAGCTTGATATATGTCATTAGTCAATATAGTATGGTTTCTACAACATATGATATTAACATCTTTCATTGTGTTAATGAAAGCAAGGTTAGAGGCTACTAGGGCAGGGTCTCATAAAAATGAAGTTGTAAACATATAGAGGCCATAGAAAATATTATTTTGCACTTTGACGTATATCATACTGTTCATACATCATTAAAGCATTTAAATATCTTTATGCTGGCATCAAATAGTATCATATGCCTTATTCATATCAGAAGCATTGAAGGGGTCTCATAGATTTTGTGAGGTTTAGTATTGGGAGACATGAGCTGCAGGTTTAGGAGGGGGAAAAAAGAAGAAAGAGAGGTTTTATTAGATTTGTTCTTTGATGTACCTTTTAAAACAATGAATATATACATCACTCATGCACTCTAGGCAAAGACATTTGAATTTAAGGATGAGAATATACAGGACCATCCATTTATACCATGAAGAATAAATTGTGCATTATTTGCGTCACTCACTCATACACTTGTAGAAAATAATCATTATTAAAAAACACTTTCACTGAAGATGACTTGAATATTTGGAGCCACAAGAGCATTAGCTCTGTGTTTCACCATATGGCATTATGCCCCTGTGGCTTCTAACAGACATGTTTTTGTAGGGAGCTTGTAGTTTATATATGGCTTTTTTATTGGACAGTACAGAACTACAGATGACTCGGTTTTATCCTTTCGGGAGCCAAATATGGATATAATGAGAAGCACAGACGCGCACCTAATCGATGTAGGTGGAATAAATCTTGTTAATGATAGGTTTTTTGATTAAGTCTGTGGTTGATGAAGCCTCTATGAATGAAGCAAAACAACACAGGCATAAACATTACCATTCAACTATTCCAGAACAATGGAAAGGTTCAAATGTTTCAACATGTCATAGTAGGCTACTACTAAAATATTTCAAGGGGTATGGGCTATGATTTTGTAGCTAGCCTCGGCCATCTTTTGGAAACATTTGCATTGGTGTTATTTAACGTATTGCCTACATAGGAACTAGGTGATACTAGTACCTGTATTAGCCTATGGGGATGAGATTTTCAATAGTCAACATGTTAAATGCACATCCAGCAAGGTTGACATCATTAGCAGACAAGAGGTACCTCTGATTCGACGACCATCCATTTCAAACACTTTTTCACACATACACTGTAGCATATGATGTTATTTCCAAGAGAATTTAAAAAAAAATGATACTGCTTGGTGAAGTAGGAGGTGCTGTGTTTATCAAAATCATTTTCTATCGTGCAACTTTTTAATAAAATCTTTCTACTATGAAACAAAAGGAAGAATATGTAGTTCGATTTACATAATTATGTAATTATGGACACTAACTTTTTAATAGTACTTAATGGTTTGCTGGAATATAAAATATATGATCATTGTTGAATGATTGTAATATTATAGAGATTATACTAGTAATTTGTTGTCTATTTATGATGGGTTGTCATTCTAAAGTGAAATAAATCTTGAATCAATCAAAGTGAACAAATTCTAGGATGTTTTTCTAGGACAGTTTCACTGGGGGACTAGAAATGATTGTGTTTGTATATTGCATTTGGAGGATCTAGATAACCACTAATGATTATTAAATCAAAATTATTTGTCTTTCGGCTTATTATTTTGTGAGTCCTCGTATGAAATTATTGTGCTGGCAGAAATATAGGGATGTAGAATTGGTAGTTAAAGTTAATCATATTTGTTTTGTTTATCTTCTCAAATTATCAAAATTGACAATTAGTGTAGTAATCATAGAACAATCTTGGCTAATTTATGTAATCTAATAGCATCGATTTGAATAAGAAATGTTTTTAAAAATAGAGATAAGAAATGAGGTGTCCCATGAATTTGAAGGATTGTGATTTAAACACCTCAAAATCAAATTGAATTTGTGGCTGGACTCTGGCTTCATTTTATGACAAAGCAAACAGAGCATTTACATTTTTATATCAAAGCTAGGAGGTTTTAGAGTTTAGTAAATAATACTGACAGTCTATTAAACTATCCTATTTTTTACTTGATACATTTTATTTAAGAAAAAAGGTGCTATTGCTTAACTGAATGACCAATAAAGAAATGATAAAGTGCGGGTACCAGAATAGAAAAAACGTATATCTTTACATGAGTGTCAAAAGAGTTAATTGTCTGACCAAATTTTCAGACTTTGTGTGTGTTTTTTTTATTTTGATTTATTCACTCTTTTTGTTATTTTTATACATTTTTTAAAGCGATGTATACATCTTCTAGCTGACAATTTGGACAACTTAAATAATTGGAGCAAGAAAAAAATTACTGTAAACATTGACAATGCATATTGCTTATTTGTTTGTTCTAATTGATAGCAAGAATGTATTTAGCTGGTTAGGAAGTGTGTAAAAAACATGTAACTTGCTTTAGACATATAATCTGTCAGCAGTTTTTTCTATCTAAAGAGGTGAAGTCAGCACAGCATGTCTTTTTAATATAAAACAACAAGTGGCTCATTTTTGTTGCCCAAAATATGTTATAATCATAATTTGAAAGAGATTGCGATGTCTGTATTTTATCAAGTTGTATTTATTTGACCTTTTATTTTGAACTGTATGTTTTACATCCTGTATTTTATATAATTTTTCTTTCATTTTCAACCTTGAGTTTTGTATACTATATATCTGTTTATACATTTTTTCTTCATGTTAATACAAATCAATGTTTTCTTTTATGTGCATGTATACATTATTGATGTCATAATAAACACTATGCTACTACTACAATATAGATTTGGTTTGCATTCGTCTTTTTGGTAAATGTAATGAGGATAGAGTCCCTGTATTGAATATGGTTTGAGAGAGAAAATGCATGAGTATGCTAGAAATAGTTCTTGTCTCCCTTGGGTGGTCTTTATAGCTCCCTCTATATAGAAAACTTCCACAATCGGTGCCTGTTGGTCCCCCATGATCCTTTCATTGATAATTGTTATATATCACTTTGGGACCGAGCTAAAACAAAATCATGGTTTGCATTGCGCATTTTAGAGCACTTTTCATCACTGAGTTTATTATTTTGATTTGATTTAATTTTTGTAATAAGGTTTTATTCGAATATTCAACAATACAGCTGGAGGCTGATACAAGTGAATTTACAAGGTAAAAGTAATTCCATAGACATAAAAAATATAATTATATGCTTTAACACTTTTAAATGAATCCAGATATAAACAGTACATAGTAAATAAATCATAAATAATGAAAACAATAATAATATTGAGTTCGGTTTGCATGCTTGGATATGAAATAAATAGAAAATCAAAGGGTGTAAGATCAGATATACAGTTTGAGAGTCGGTGCAGGACATTTTGATAATGCATTAAGAGAAAAATTATTATTGATCATTAAAAAATTGAAACTAAACGATTAAACTGTAACATTTACATGAAGTATATATAAAAAATAAATCGATAAAATACAATTATTAAATATTGTTATGTATGATCTTCATGAATACGTGATCTAAAACCCGGCTTGAAAACATAAAATTACATTTATTAAATTACATTTATTGAAATAACATTAATAATTATTGCATTGATCAACTTGCATTTATCAAAGTTAAATTTTAAAAGTCAGATACTATACATTGTTCTTCTGAGTTGCATAGATTGGCAATGAGAATATCTTTTATAATAATTTATCGGATCAAAATTGCATTTAACTAAATTATCCACCCCTTTTCTTTTATGGGGATTGACAACGGTAAAAATATCAATTATTCATTATTTTGGTTGTTGGTGTGACTCTCCAACATCGGGGGCTACCACAACCCCGTTGTTGAATTTTCCCGTACAGGCTCCTTGAATCACCGATCCGGACCCCCATAGTCTCTCTAAAGCTTTTTTTTTCTAGGCCAACTCTCTAGAGCGCGCAGGCTTCATTTTTTAAAACACACCCCAACATATGATAGTTTTGCAAATAGTTTTGCAAGACTATATACCTACCCATAGGTATTATAAAAATGTAATAAAAACTAGAGTTTGATGGTTATATGGACACTTTTTGGAACCAGTATAATCCTTACAAAGGAAAGTGACACGGGTTAAAAAGTCAAGAAAAGGAAGCTCATTTTATTTCCTTTTTCTTTCGATCCTTACAATCTTTTTCTTCTGTTCTCACTTTTTTTCCTTCTGTTCTTTCTTTTTTTCCTTCTGTTCTTTCTTTCTTTCCTTATTATTTTTTTTTCCTTCTTTGCTTTCCTTTTCCTTTTTGTAAAAGTTTCAATTTCGGGTTTAAGTACATTTATTTGGAAGCATCGGGAGAACATTGAGAGGGGCAGCAGCCTCACAGTGGTCCTCGTTTTTCTTCTTCTTTGGTGTTATAATGGCTATTAGTCAAACTTGACTATATTTGCCAATTTCGTCGCATCTCTTTCTTTTAATGTGTTGGTGAAATTATTTTTTTTCAATATAATTTTAATATAATATTCAGTAATATAGTCTACCTACTTTTGTGTAATAAACTGGAACAATATTTCAAATAAAACAACGACCCGCACACAGTTTCAACCCGGCCCGGCCCCCTCCCCCTAGCCCACCAAAAGTGTTTTAAAAATTAGGATAATAACGTAAATTCAACCTTTTTTAAAACAAAAAACAAAAACGGACCCCGTGTCTCCTCCCCCCCCCCAAAAAAAAAGAGAGAAAAAAAAGGAGAAATTATATTTTCACCCCCTCAAAAACAAATTGTGGTTCCAGGCTCTCCATCACCTTCCTCGCCCCCCCCCCCCCCCCCCCGCGCGCTTATTCACCGGCTTGATGAATCGCTGCTAAATATTTTCTCCCGAATTGGGAACAAAAAAGTGCTCGTACCTCCTCGATTGGCCGAGTCGACGCTAATTTTTTCTTCAAAAACCTGACCCCCCCAAAAAAAAGTGCACTTACCCCCCCCCCCCCCCCCGCGCTTATTCACCGGCTTGATGAATCGCTGCTAAATATTTTCTCATGAATTGGGAACAAAAATGTGCTCGTATACCTCCTCGATTGACCGAGTCGACGCTAAATTTTTCTTCAAAAACCTGACCCCCCCCAAAAAAAAATAAGTTCTCTTACCCCCCACCCCCTCCCCCTCCCCCCCCACCTATTCACCGACCAGCAGCTGAGTCGGCGCTGAATTTTTCTTCAAAAACTGGACCCCCCCCCCCCCCCCAAAAAAAAAAAAAAAAGTGCTCTTACCCCCCCCCCCCCCCCCCCCCCCCCCCCCCGCTTATTCACCGGCCGGCTAAGTCGGCGCTAATTTTTTTCTAAAGATTTGCCCCCCCCCCCTCCTGTCGCCGGCTGGATCCGCCCCTGGTTTCAACTTACGCTGGCCCTGTCCTTTCTATATACGCCATGTCTGTAATTCTATATGGTACAGTACATTCTCACAGCGAAATAAAAAATAATGACATTTTAACAATCAAACCATTATCTAATCGTGGACTAATTTACACTGCAGTTATAGGAAGTTCAAAGTTTCTATTTATTTACACGGACTGCTATTATGATGGACTATGTTCCGTTAAAAGTTCAAGGATCCACATTATTATTTAGCGGCTTAGCCATGTGCGTGTCACACGCACCCCTCCCCCTATGAACGATTGACTGAATGAATGAGAGTACGCACGGATAAATGGACGAACAAATGAATGAATAAATAAAATGAAATAAATAAGTAAATAAATACACAAATAAACAAATAACTAGATAAATAATTGAATAAGTAAATAAATGACTTACTAATTAATACTTCATGAAGATTATTTATTGATACAATGAAAATTTAAAGTTTAAGGAGAAGATATCAAAGTTTTCCGGTGCCCCATTTTATGACAAATTTTGATATTTCATTTCAGCTTTGTTCTTTTATCCTTTCTCTTGCCTTCTACAGCTGATGAGAGGCACACTTGCCCCCCCCCCACCCTCCATTACGTTACTGACTACACCCTGAGTCAAATTATTGGAAACTATCAAAATATTTGCACCCTAGAGAGTAAGAAAATATATTTACATTCATATTTTTTATTTTTTTATTTTTGGTTAGTATTTTTGTGCTAACAACTATATACAGTACTACCTATCAAAAGTAAGGGCAGTGGTGTATCTAGGTATTATGCTGCCCTAGGCATACAATGAAACTGTGCCCCCCCCCCCTTCTGCCCAAACAAATCTACGTAACTGTATACAAGCGAGTGAACAAAGCGAACGAGTGTTATCATTATTATTATTTTTAGCACTGGCAGGTGCATGGGGTATGAAAAGTCCGCCAAAGCAGCCTTATAGGTAAATCGATTTCCGAATTGTCATGCTATAGGGAGAGGCAATATGGCGTATGCAGGATTTTTTCAAGGGGGGGGGGGGGGGGTTAACATTTTTAAATCGCGCCGAAAATTTCGCAACGCCTCAGCCAGCCGCTGAATAAGCGGCGGGGGGGGGGGGGGGGTCTGCAAATTTCAAATTTTGGGCTACCGATATTTCCGCTGCGCGTACGCGCCTGGGGAGAGGAGATGGTGAAATGCATTTATATTTTATGATAAGGGTATATAGCAATATAGCAGTGATGACAACATACTCACTTGATAGTAGACACGTTATTTCAAAATGAATGCAACGAGATTTTGATTGGCAACATTTAAAAGGTACTCGTCCACCCCTCTTCATTTTTAGTGATTTTTTTTGGGTAATGCTCTATTATCCTGAACTCTGTGTAAATTTCACAGGGTTTTTAATTGTGCTAAAACTGTAAACTTATGACTCAAAGCTTGTAAGAGGAACCATTTTCCACTGAAATGTTACACAGAAATCACGTTGCATAGAACTGATGATGCACACAATACCTCATACCTGTCGCTTCTTGCATTTCACGGGGCATTTCACGACCAACCATTCTGTCCTTTAAAGTCATTCTAACGGCTAATAATTTCCTTGTGAAATCATAACTGAAACAATTTACAGTGGCAGATCTAGGGGCACAGGGGGCACGTGCCCCCCCCCCCCCCCCCCGCGGCCAAAAAAAAAAAAAAAAAAAAAAAAATTAGTGATCACTCCCAGGATCGAAGCGGAAAAGCGGGAGGAAAGGCGTGGTGGCGGGAGTCTCCCGCTACGAGCTGGTGGGAAGGCGGGAGAATGAGCGTGGTGGCCGCGAGACTACAAATGCGGGAGGGTTGACAGTCCTGCCTTTAGCAAGTTTAGGATTCTTACCCATTTGGGATGATACCATTAAAACTATTATTCAGAAGATTGATAAAGTAGTGAATTTTTCAATATTTGGAAGAATGTTTGGCTATGAAAAGGATATGTTTTTGACTTATTTATTTCTTATGCTTAAATACTACATTTATTTATGCAAAAGGCAAAGTAAAATACCCAATTTTCAGGGTTTCAGAACTTACATTGACTATAAAGATCGTGAATATCGTATTGAAAAAAGAAAAACAAACTGCCCTTGCACTTTAAAAAAAATATGAATTTTGTTTTGTTTTATAATAGTGTTTTATAATGTTGTATCGGTACATGTAATTGCTTGCATCTTAGTGTACTTTTCGTGAGGTTTTGATCTACGTTTTACTGCTTTTTTGTAATCTTTTTATAATAACTTGTAAATATTGTGATTGTTTTTGGATTGTTCAATAAAACACATAAAGAAAAAAACAGTTTAGGATTCTTCGCAATATATTTTGTATTTGATTGATATACATGGTCATCAGGTCCCTATGAAAATACACTAAATGCATTAAATTTACCTGAGCTAAAGTTCTTCAAGATCCGGGTTCTTCATACTCCTTTTTGTAACAAGATTAAAATTGATTTGAGAGCTTGCCAGAAAACGTTATAATTGAGGTTCTAAGTACTTGTGCTATACAGTGCAACGCGCAACTCTTGTAACAATTTAAAAATGTTTCGTTTTTACAAAAATAATCACAACAGGGGGCGGCAGAGCGACGTCTTTCAAAGTCCAGGGGCACCCTAAAAACAGTACTTTCGAGGTAAAAGGGACGTACAGCTACAAAGGGTGACCTCGAAGCGCAACATTTGACTTTGGTGTATTTGAGGAAAGCCTCCTATTATCAAAATCATTTCCTGATTTCTCCCGTATCAACAAACATGCTTTGACGTACGGTATAATATATAGGGCCTAATGAAAATACATCATGAATTATGTATATATATGTTTATACTCGTGGAGATAATTAATTGCATGTTCAGTAATTTTTTTTTTTAGTCCATGTAGACCGTAAAAATCTTTTATTTAGAGGAACAAATTCACTAAAGAGATACTAAGCAAAATGTTATGATAATATATTTTTCACGCCTTATCTTCCAGCATAAATTATCGCCATTTTATCTATTTATTTATATTTGTTTACAAACACGTGCGGAGAGATCAAAATACCGCTTTCATAGTGCACGCAATGTTTCTTCAACGCTTTCCACCAATAGCAACGAAGCATGCTGGGATACATTTTACCCACCAATTGTTGTTCCGGTTGAGCAATGTTTTCGTGTGTATCGGCCATTTTGGTCTTGCTGTGATCGAGGGTAGGAATGGTAGGAATGGCCACGTTTCGACAGGCAACGGAAAACGACGATGCCTGGGCCCTTCTGGCTCTTAAATCTGCCCCAGCGAGTCCTACAAGGGTTCCTTGGAATGATGGCGGTCAAAAAGGTGTTATTCTCGCCCGGTTAGAAGGCAGAGAATTCGAGTATTTGATCCGCAAGAACAGAATTACAGTCGGCCGCAACAGCAAACAAGGGGAGGTGGATGTAAACATGGGACATTCGAGTTTCATTTCACGTAAACATCTTGAAATAATTTGCGAGAGCCCGAACTTTTTCTTAAATTGCACGGGAAAGAATGGTATATTTGTAGATGGCATATTCCAAAGAAGAGGTGCAGCTCCGTTGCAACTGCCCAGGACGTGAGTATCTATTTTTATTATTTATTTTAAAATGTCTGTTCAGTAGAACCTAGAGCTGTTCGTAAATTGGTACGCATACCAAAACGTCCATTCCGGACATCTCTAGTGCTCTCTGACCGTGCGTGGAGTGTCGGGCAATGCCAATACAATGGCAATGCATGCAAGCTACGTGTGGCCGTGGAAGATCAAGAGGTGTTGGTCGGGACGCGGACGGGCTTGTCAAGTCAGCTCGAGCCATGCAACCCACTGTTATTGTTTTGTTAGTTTGTTGTGTTTGATTGTTTGTTTGTTTTGCAGTTTTCATGCTTATCTGAGCTGTGTACTGAAGTGAAGGGTTACTGCTACTTTGCTAGTGACTGTGTGAATCTGAATCATGCCATGGTTGTGAGAATGTCCAAATAATTGAAGGATCGTTGAATGAAAGCCGGTCAGAAATCAGTGAACGAATTTGCCTTTATTATCAGTGATTATGCTTTCTCTCTCTTGTTGAAAATTTGATTTTGTAAAGTCAGGATTGAGCATGATGGTTTGGAAACATGGGAAGTAGACTTTTTTTTAAACTGAGAAAGAACTAGCTAAAAAAAGTGAGTAAAGACAAGTTTAGGGCTTGGTGATAATCTGTAATAACCCTGATGTGGTACGGGAAATTCTTGATAAAACTGACATTTGGCAACCTTCCCCATAAATAAATATGGTAAACCTTGCCGCACACACCGAAGGGGGGTTAACTATTGATTTTTTTTCACTGGAATCCAGCTAGAAGTTTGCCGTCTGACTCTGTTTATCTAGACTTTAACAGTTTGATTTTGAAATATTGATGATTGGAGAGAAAATGGATCTTATCTCCATGTACAAATAACATTGACAATCATTGTTAAATTTATATCAAGATACAAGGAATTTCAGCTAATCTGTTAGTTTCTTGATGCTACTGTGTGCGATGAGATTACCCAAAATCTTTCCTCACTAACCCGTACAACACACTTCAGTCTCCAGGGAATAATTTTCCTCAAATTTTTTGATTAGCAATTTCAGCCGATGGATAAATATTTCAAATGAAATTCTGTACATTTCTATGGAAGAAAACTGCTACACAAAAGATATTTTGTATAGCAGTCATGCAAAAATGCATAGCAAATTGCGATGCGATACCAGGAAAATTATTCCCTGGTCTCTGTATAGAGGTGGTGTTCAGTGGAGCCAGACGTAGTCTCAGGCTCTCAGCAGATATCGGAGACTGAAGCTTTCGGTCTAGGTGATAATATGAAATATGAAGTATGACATTGATATCAGCAACTCCACCAAGCCTTAATTGGTATCCACTTGCCTGTGTGAAGAGTGATGTAAACAAACTCTCAAATGAGTTTTACATCATCCTTTTACACACGTGCCAAAAAGTAGAAACTGTTTTCAGAGTTTGCTAACACCTTCCCAATTTAACTTACCCCCTAATTCCGCAATCGCACAATTCAACAATTTAAAAAAAATTGTTAAAACTCACCATTGATAAGGCTTTACTCTAGACCTGAAAGCCCAACTTTGATACTTGTACATGTGTGCAAATTTTTTGTTTTTGTTTGGACAAATCCCTGTGTACCTGTACACAGCAGAATGATTTTGCCCATTAAATACTGGTACCCGGACCACTTAAGCCCAATTAGCCCTCAGGCACCCTTTCAACCCTTAGCGCCAGGGGAAAAAAAAGCAGTGATCACAACCCCAAACAGCTTGTGAATTAAACCAAACTTATGTTCAATTTCCATTTTAAAATGCAATATCTATACAAACACAAATGTAGGAGTTCACAGCTGACTATGTTTATGGGGATAGAGAAAAATGAATCCGTAATTTAACCGGTGCCTCAAAAAAATTATATGGTAAATTTGATTCATATCCTTCCTTTAAAAAAACACACCACCAAGTTTGAAAACTAAAGGAGTTCACTACATTGTTGTATGTACAACTGTATTAAGTTGAAATTAAAATCAAGGCACCAGTTTTTATCCGAAGTAATAACATGAAATATCAGAAAAATCTAAAAAATTTGGGGGTTAACCTTTAAAGGCATGTTTTCAGTTTTACAAATCTGAGATGAATGGCCCTTAATTGTACGTGTACATGTACATGTTATCAGTGTCTGTGATACAGTGTAAAATATTGAAGCCCTAAAAAAACTTCTCTTTAAAATGATCATGAAGTGCCTTAAAAAGTGAAAATCTTTGAGTGGCCTGTTTTACCATACGATACTCATTTTCCCCAATAGACTTTAGTGTTAGTGTAATACAAAAACTGTACAAAACTATTATGCAAACAGTTTTTTACATTTCTAATTCCAATCATAAATATCTTGATAATCAGACTGGAGATCGGCTTGTAATAGTGATGGGATTCCTGACTGGCCTAAAGGTTTATAATTATGATTGCAGCATTAGCTAAATCCAGGATTTTGTTTAGAATCTGAGGCAAAGATACATGTACCCAATCCCTTTAAATGATATTCTCATTGCTCAGTCACATTGTAGGCCAATATTCGCACAGTACAAGTATGTTCGCGTGTGGTGCGTGACGTCAAAGGGGTATCCATTATCCAAGATATATGCCCCATTTGACGTCACACATATCCAACTTTGTGTTCATGCTGGAAATGTTTTACGTCTCATGAGCTATCCCTGACCATTTCCTTCACAGGAATTCTTTTACATACATGTAGGATAAAAAAGTCTTCATAATACAGAGTTTAGATTATTTATAAAGAAATTAATTTTGGATTAGACTACCGGTAGACATATTACAACTAGTAGACAAACAAATTTATCCATTGCACTTTCATCCTTTCTGTCCATGTTGTACTGCATACTGTCCATGACATCCCAGTCCAAACGTGTGATTTGTTATTCTAATTTAAGAATAACATATCTAGAGGAAGTACTTGAGGTACTATTTTATTATACAAGGGAAAATCATATATACCATGGTGAATGTTAACTTTCGTTTAGGTTGATGTATTTTGATACATTGTCAGTTTGTAGCTTGTTATCAAGATAATTACAGATGTTGCATTTCCTTGGTGCTGTTTTATGGTCTTTTGCTAGCAACTTCAACTTCATACATGTACTGTAGTTGCATACTTATGAAATCTCAGTGTAACAGTTCATGACTGAAGCGGCTAATTTGATTTTTTTTTTAATCATCCTTTTTGTAAGTAATGTAAGTGCTGTAGAACATGGGAGAAGGGACATGGCAAGAATAGATACCCCCTTATGAGTTACAATTCAGATATTTGTATTTTCCTTCTTTAAAAAAACCCCTGTTTTAATAGCATAGTAAAACCTGTGTTAATGGGAGACAAAAAAGCCCTTTATACATGTAATTAGATAGATGTTTTTAAATAAAGATTCATTGAGTGGAATCCCTCCTGTTTAAGGGGTTAAAAGAATGGTTCTATAGACAGATGTTCAATCAAGCAGGTTTGACAGTTTGACTTTATCAAAGAATGTAAAATAAGGGGCACTAGATGGAATGAGCATGTAGCTTGGACTGTTTGATTCATATGTAGATATTGATTAAATCAGGATTATCATTATCATTCTGTTTTATGTAATCATCATTCGATCCTGTTCCCCCTCCCCCCTACAGATGTATCTTGAGGTTTCCCAGCACAAGTATCAAGATCATGTTCCAGGCGTTGATCAGCGAGTCGGCACCCCCTGCTCCGGTCCCGCCCATGCAGCTGCAGCCAGCTGCACCGGTCGTGGCCAAGGAACCTAGTCCTGTCAAACGGAAGACCATGATGCCTCCGTTGAAGATCGACATCCCGCCTTCCGATGCGACCTATGCCAGTCCGTACCCGTCTCCCACTGGGACCATTAGGTGAGATTCTGTTGATAGGTTACATACATGTAGCCAGGGGATTGTACAACTTATTACCAGTGACAGTTTTCCATGGTCAATTTGTAACACTTACACACTGTACGCTGGTCATATTCCTAATTTCAATTGTGTACTACACACCGTTTTAAAATAAGGTCAAACACTTCCAAGGTAAAGATGTTAGTGCTTGGATTCCTACATATGAAGAGCTAAATCCACTTTTGATGAAAATTTAGTAATTGAAAAATGCACCTTCTAATATCACTTTTCCACAGATGCCAATTTCTGTTTTCTTTGAAGTTACAAAAATGGATTTATCTCCTTTCGGAATTAAAGTCTTCATATACTTGTCTTTAAAAAAGAAAGAAAGAAGAAAAATCAACCCTGTAATATCATCATCTTGCTTAACAACAAAAATATGAATCTCTGTCATGTCATTAATATTATGGCAAATATGCTCAAACTTCTTGTTTTAGTATGTATATCAAAACAAGCTTTTATAAACAGAGACTGCAGCATTGTGATCATATTCTGATGGACTTCATTTTAATGAAGTACATTGTACATGCTTCTCTATAAAAGAGGAGTAGTTTCAGTCTGTCTATGAATATAATCAAAAGTTGTAATGATCAGAAACCTCCTTGTTTTCTTCTCACATGTGAATCTGTTCAAATTTACAGGAAATTAATATAGAATTTTGTTTGCATCTTCACAATATTTTGTCTGAGCAGACAGTATGTATTCAAGTCTGGATGGATTCTTTATTTTTCAGTCAAAGATGTTTACGAGCTTCATACTGTTCTCTCTCTGAAAACAAGTTCTGATATTACCTAGTTAGGCTCTATGAAATTGTATGATGAATATGTCTAGTTTAAGCCTACAAGAGCTCTTCAAAATAAAATACAATGTAATACAATTGATCTGTGTTGCTTTATGATCCTCCCACTTTTGTTTGCCTCTCTTTTTTCATTTTTCTTGTTTCATTTTTCTTTTCAATTATATCGTTTGTATTCCCCCCTTCTTGTTCCCCTTTTTATTCTTAATTTCTACTTGTTCCTATTAGGTTTAGAAATACCCTCTTTTCCATAAAGGACAATTTATTTGATGTCTTGATATGAATGGTATTATTATAGTAATTATATATTTATTGTCTCTTCCCCAATCTTATCCAGTGCTGTCAACTCGTGTCCTACAAGCCCCCGAGCCGGAACCAGTCAGAGATCCATGCTTGCTCCGGACCTCTCCGCAGCAGCGTTTGCTGCGGCTGCGGCAGCTGCTGCTGACGACAAGGAAGGCCACTCGTCCAGTAACGATGTCGGGGGTCCCCGGGACGAGACCAAGCCGCCCTACTCTTACGCTCAGCTCATTGTCCAGGCTATCATGTCGGCGCAGGATAAACAGTTGACATTGAGTGGAATTTACAGCTATATTACAAAGACATATCCGTACTATAGAACAGCAGACAAAGGATGGCAGGTATGACACTGTCTTCAATGGTTACATGTCGGTTTTTCTGAAGGTTTTTTCTGAAAATGATATAGCGCCCTGTAACGTTTCCAGAAATTACGGAACCTCAGAATAACGGAACCTAGTTCATTTTCGTAACAAAGACCCCTATTTCATTTACAAAATATGAACCTTAGGAATAATGTTCTAAATGTTCAGATCTATGAACCCTTTTTAATTTCTTGGAATCAAGAAACTTCAGAAAAATGAGTGCCTTCCATCTTCAACTGTAGATGAATTATCACTTTGGTTTAAATTACATAGCTGACAGGTGTTGGTGATTTTGTAAATGAAGAGCATACTAATACATTCTTATTTCTTTTCTCTCTTTTCATTTTCAGAATTCAATTCGACACAACCTGTCCTTAAATCGGTACTTCATCAAGGTTCCACGATCACAGGAAGAGCCAGGTAAAGGGTCATTCTGGCGGCTTGACCCCGGGTCAGAGGCTAAACTAATGGATCAAGCTTACAGAAGAAGACGCCAAAGGGGAGTGCCGTGCTTCAGGACACCCTTTAGCGGGGTCTCATCAAGGTACGCTTGCCTGAAGAACACTTTCCTTGCTGAGAGGGCTTATCTAAAAGGGAATTCAAATTTCAAGCTCCTACAATGATTGCTCTTTTAAAGCCCAACTGCACTAGTTTGGCCAGGAGGTATTAGACCTCCCTGCATAGTCACTGACAGGTGGTTATCTCATCAAATCAGCTCTCAATTAACATAAGAAAAAGGGGACCATGGGACACTAACGGTCACTGATTAGGCATTATTTACTATATAGAGTGCACAGGTAGCTATAAGTAGTGCAGTGGGGCTTTAAGAGTTTTTTCAAAAATCCTACATGTTTGAAATTAGAACAGAATTGATGGGAAAGGAAAATTAAGATCACGTAGTTCCCATGATGCTCGAATGATTCCCTGTTATAAGGGACTGATTTTTATAGCGCAGCATTCAATCGCTGTTCTTTGTGTAGAAGTATTTCTGAGCAAATTCAGGGATGTAAAGCATAGTTACTAGTATTCTAGTCATTTTAGCAATTTCTCGTTCTAAAGCTACATCTATTATCTATTTAAATTCTGCAGAGATGCAGTTTTGTCTTTCATATTCAGTACTTCTTCAGAATGTGTTTCTATTAGTTTCTAGTAAAGTAACTCGTTGCTAATCTTTGCTCAACCTTTTTCTTTGATCTTGCAGCCGCTCCGCGCCATCATCACCCACACACGTCCCCCAGTTCAGCGGGACGTTCACCCCTGAATGCCTCTCAAGAGAAGGTTCCCCTGCGCCGCAGAACATGAACAATGCTGGCGGGGGTGGTGAGGGTCAGGACCATGGGCCCCTGGATCATCAGAGGTTTACGCAAGCCATGCAGGAGGTAAAAAACAACCTTGCTTATGTTTGTAGGGAATTTTTATTATCCTACATAAGGCCTTTAAAAAAAAGATGTTGTATTGCCCTTTAGGTGCCAAAACTTTAAAAAAATATTTTTTGCTCTCTCCTTGGGCTGATATTTCTCTGTTTTGAATGCTTAAAGTTTTCTTTAATATATTTTTTTAAGCCAACCATAGATTTCAAGACCTAAGGGTCAGGCTATAGTTAACAATTAAATTGTCGTACCCTTTGTTAACTATGTGAAAATATGATTGTCCTGATTTACGTTTCTTGGGAATGTGACATATTAAAGCCTACATCTTAAAGTAGTCAACGAAGGTGTTTTTTCAACCAGTCCACCTTTCATTCTTGAATTATGAAAAAACTTTATATCAAATTGTACAAGGGGTATGAATAATTTAGTTAACTTAATATGAAATTCAAATTTAACTTGAAACAGACTTATTTGTCATTGCCATGCAAATGTTCAGTTTTATTACTTTCAAAGTTATGCTTTTGTTAATATATTAACAAGTGTTTTCTTTATGGCATCTTTGCAGGTGAAGGTGAGTCTAGTGAGCCCCGGCTCGCCCATCACTACTACAACAGGTGCTCAGGCTGCCAGCCATGCTGCCCACATGGCAGCCCTCCCTGGGGGCGGGGGTGTCATACCTCTATCTTCCCTCGCCCTAGCAGGGAACCCCCCTCCTCAGGGCCAGGGGGTACCCGTCGTTGCCATCCACCCTCAGATGGCATCTGTGATCACGTCGTCGCGGACGCAAGCAGCTGTACAGGCGTCACTGAGCAACGGCCATGTTACATCCTCTGCAGGAGGATTTAGCCACCAGGCAAAGGACATCTCAAGTGCTGGAGGAGGAGGAGGAGGTAGTGCGGAAAAGAATGGCATAGACATGAAAGTGGAAGGTAAGAGAGGCCAAATCTTTCCCATGTCCTTAGATCCGAAGAGGCCACCTCATGTTGTAGATTTTTTACACTTCATGCTCTCTTTGACAAAGGTTATCACAAAGGTTCAAACTGCATTGGTTCATATAAAATCAATGATAATGGATTTATTCTTAGCGTATTGTATGAGAGTGTATTTTATAGTGTATTTGTTAACTGTTGTTGATGATAACTATTTATCTAAAACCTGTCTTCAATCTTTAGGTACCCATGCTGTACTTTATTCATTGAAGTCCATCCTATTGTTCCCCAATCACAGAGAAGCCATCAGTTGGTGTACCCCCTGCAACCATCATGTTGACGCAGTCCCATCTGAAGGCGGCCAATTCTTCGTCCACAATGGTACCTCAGCCGGCGGCATCCTCTGACAGTCATCACGTTGTCACCGTCGCAGGTACCTTCCTCCCTCCTGCCAGCCACTACCGACCCCCTCCTCAACTCCCTATGGCCGGCGGTTACCATCACAACATGGAGATGGCTCCCCCTCAGAGCTCCAGCCAGGCCGCAACCTCCTCGCCCCTCGTCATGCTGGCCACCACGTCGGCCGTTCAGCAGCTGCAAGGCCACGTGAAGCGCCCTCTAGACGGCATCAAGGAAGAGACGGATGGACAGGATGGTTTTGAAAGTAAAAGGATTAAGACTGATCCGCTGGAGGGCTGAGGGGATACAGCATTGACGACCAGCACGGACAGACATAGGGTTAATCAGCATGGGAAGAGTTTAACATCATTGAGAGAGTAATTAAAAGGTTGTACAGGGCTTGATTGAATGGAGTAAGTGTTTGTGAGTAGGAATTGTTGTAGGGTTCTGGAGATAGAGTTGATGCATTCAAGAGAATGACTTTGTAATTAGTTTGCTTTCCTATGGAATTGCAAAACATATACTCTGGCTTTACCACCAAATTAACAAATATTCATATGTGTATGTATAGTCCATTCAAAAAGGAACAGCTCGAATTATGTTAAGTGGATGTCTGGACTTGTACAAATATTGGTTTTAGAGATGTTTTTGTTATGTGTACTTCAGATAGCAAACAAATCAATTTACTAGCAATGTTTTTTTTTGTCTCATGTTTCTTTCACAAATTTGTGTGGTCATTTTAGGAAAATTGAAACATATAAATTATGGTATAGATATTCTTGGCATTCAGTCTTCACTTTTTATTATTTTTTTATTAATTTTCTTTTTTTTTAGAGAGATTTTGAGAGGTGTTTAACTACATGAAATTTTTTGAAAATTCTGAAGTAGAGTTCAATTTTTATTATTACAGCTCAGTGCTGTATTCACAAATTGAAGTATTGTTGATGTATTTTTATAATGGAACTGCTACTTTTCATCATCACTGGTAATGCACTAGTGAAATAATTAAACATGTCGCTTTATATTCATGACATTTTATCAAAGGATGATTGTAAATTTGCTTCAAAGCGTATTGCACTCTGTGAATATCATTTGGTATATAATCACACACACCACCAAGTTCCATGTGAAATTTCTTTTTATGTGGCATCATGCCATGGTGTGGGTATGTCATTGATACAGCAAAAGTATCTAAACAGAATCCCACTTTATCATCTGGTATTTTGATGATGAAGATGAGAATACCAGATATTATTGTTGCATCTTTTCTACAAAAATGCTAATTAATCATTGTCTGATAATTCGTAAGCAAACACGTAGGAAGATGTCGAGGAATGCTGAAATAGGGATGGGTGATTAATTTCTCATTTGCCTTCTAGTAGTGGGTCTGTGGAAGATTTTTGTTCTTTATAGACAGCAAGCTTGAAATTGAGCGCGATAGCACCCACCAAGCTTTATTTAAAAGCCTGCATCATGCAACGGCGGTTTTTTTCAATTGTACATTTGGATTTACGAAAGAAAGAAAGAAAAAAGTTGAATGGAAGCAGAATGCAATTGACCAAGTCAGGTTATGGTGATTAGAGTCAGTGATGCTGCTTGTATGCCTTAGACGCGAGAACCCAGTATCAGAAAGTTCATAGACGTAGCTTTTCTATGAATGATATTTTATACCCCTTTTTGAAGAATGTTTGCCTTGCAGGAACAGATATTAGACACTATTGAACAGTTTATGCAATACTGTTGGCAGTTGGGCTTGTTCAAGTATAAACACGATTTGGATTTTTCTCTAGGATCACTCCAGTCGCATGTGATGCGATAGACTCCTTTCTCAGATTATGAATGTATTTTATGATTATGAAATCAGTCAGTCAGTGGATATAGTCTACCTAGTTATTTTGGGAGAAATCAAGTATGCACTGCTGAACAAATTATTTCTGTATTTATTGTGTATGAATATGCGAAATTGCTACATGGCCTGTGCATTTTTATAGAGCTTTACTTAAAAAATGAAAACAATTATTTGAATGCAATGATTGAATAATGTGAAGAATGAAAATACTTTTATTGATTTTTTCTTTTATTATTTTTTTAGAAATCATCATCATTGCAGTAATAACCCATTAGTGAAATTGTATTCTAGTTGACTAGTATTATCCTAGTATTTGTTGATTCCCAGTGCCGCATTTACAGTTTGTGTTTTCGCCAAACAATGTGAGAAGAAAAAAATGTTATTCATATGTGTATCTTAATCACTTGATCAATCATGTTGGCCAAGATGTGGTTGATGAATTGCAATTTCTTCTTGATGGATAGTCTGAATGTAGGTCTAGTAAAAGTTCCCCTTTCTGCCGTGAATTCCACAGTAAGTTGTCCTTGGAGAGAGAGATAGAGAGTGAGTGTGTAGGAGAAAAACAGTTATGTAACAGTATTGGATTTGTAATCATGGTTGATGCACCCGTGTCCAGGGTCCCTAGATGAACATTGGTTCTTGTAAGTCTTCTATATGCCTTGATACCACATCCAAGTCTAATATTGATGGTTGATTTTATATAGCAGCACCATTTTGATCTTGTCATAACACTTGGTCTTTAAACAACCAGTCAGTGAAAATATGGATGATGGTTCGGAGCAAAGTTGTTTCAGCAATTATGAAAAAAGAAGAAGAAATAGCTCCCTTGTAGTTTTACAAAATGGGTAAAATTACCAAATTAAGATACCGGTAAGCAAGTCTTGTTTGGCCTAATATTTGCTCTCATATATATTTATTTTCTCCTTCCAGTCTGTTTTTTGTCCTTCATTTTTAATATTAAGAACATTGATGTAATTTACTCTCGGTAAATAAAATTAAAGTCTTCTTCGATTCTCTACTGGGCCCTGTATCATAAAACATGTTGACAATGACAAGTTACAATAATTGTTATAAGCTACTGAAATCGTGTTATTAGAATGGCTGAGAGCAAATTCAGCATTTGTTATTGATCACACGTTTTATGAAACGGGGGGGGGGGGGGGCTCTAATCTGTTAGATAATTAGCCCATAATCTGTAAAAAAAAAAGTTGAACACGATAAATCACTCTCGAGATATGAGGTTGTTTATATTTGCATGCCAAACTTGACGAAGGGAAGAGAGAGAGATGGGGTTGGGAACGATTCCCTTTTTCCGATTTTATATGCTAATTTGTGGATTCTATGTGATAAGAATTGTGATCAATATGAACATTTTTGAATAAAATCAAATATACTACTGACAAAGAAAAACAAATGTTGGACTCTTCCTTCCCAAACCTTTAAGAAGAAGAATTGATTTTTGTTTGAATCCCTGTGTCTGCATTTTGAGATGAGAATTATGTGACACTTTCTATTTTATTTTTTTTCTTAAAAGAAATGGTTATCGTGTGAATCTGAAAAAATGAAAGTATCAGTTGTGGTTATGTATGTGAACGTATGAATGGGGCGAAAGTTTAGAAAAGAGTTTAACAAATAGAATAAATAATAGATATGTAAAAAGATAGGTGAATACATAAAAATGAATACGTAAAATGTTGCCCATTAAGTTGGAATTAATTTTTCTAACTTCTTTTCATGGAATGATTTTGATAGTATGATTTATTCTCGATAGATAAACGTAAATCTTCGTATACCATCACAGATCAATCTTCATGACCCTTTACTAGGGTGATTCATAGAGTTCTGAGAAGATATCAACTTAAAGAGTCGAGAATAAATCGTATTGTCACAACCATTTCACGAAAAGAGCTTAGAAAATTCATTCCAACTTTATAGGCAACAGAGTAATTAATAATCATGTAAACAAATGAAAACTAATAATTATCAATCACTCAACCAATATTTCAATCAAGTAATCAATGGGAGTGATAAAATGAGTACGCTCAAAACAGCTGTGAATATTTCCCCCAAACCCAATTTCCACGAACTCTATGTCGAGTTCGAAACCTTTCTTTAATTGTTCACTAATCCTAATCATACACCTGGATATGCAATCTTTAACATTGAGAATGAAACATAATTTATTTAGAAATTGAAAGCTACCACATATTTTGTATCCATGGTGTAATCATAACTACATTCTCTTCAAAGGCGTATCCAGTTTGATTGTGAAGCCAACTTCATCAGTTTTAAGCCCCCCACCTCCCCCCATAAAATAAATTTAAAAAAAGAATAACTATGATTTGCAGTTGAGCTATACGGTACCCTTGCCGGAGCAGACTTAATATGCCTTTCCCATTTGCCTACACATACCCTCTCTAGAACTCGATCGCAAAATCTTTCAAGAAATCATCTGAATAGCCAATTCAATACCGTTTTGTATAGCCTATTCAAATAAAGTTCGGATAATGCTTAATTACATTGTCGTGTTTCAACATTTCAACAGGAAAGACACAAATATATTGAATTTGACTTTACTGGGATGATATTTGGAATGTCTTTCCGATCACGTACGTTTCGGGAGATTTTTTTTTACCAGCTCCTAGATATACATTGTTGACTTATTATCCATCGATTTTGAATAAAACTGTCTGACAAATGAAATTATTTCAGAAGCGCACTTTATTTGTCAGGATAGACCTACATCACGTATTTTGAAGTTTGAAGAGCCACAGTTCAATACAAGTACAACGATGTCAGTCAGTACATGCAGACTATAAAATCAATAGTGAATAATTATGATTGAGTAAATACAAGGAGTTCGTGTGCCCCCTCCCCTAAGAAGAAAGGTTAAATTCAGGGTATGTACGTCCTCGTCAAATAGGTCGATCACGTACACTCTGCCTCTTAATTTTCCCTTTTTTTGGGGGGGGGGGGGGGGGGGGTGGGGGGGGGGGGGGCTCAGCCTCCTGTTACTAAATTAAGATAGACACGCCACTGATAGACTAATAAACGCATCTTTAAATCAATACATGCATAATACAATCATACTCAACCGGTATGACAACCATTAACGTTTGTATGTCTCTATACATCAAATGTGATTCTATTTCCAATATGATTATATTTTGGCACCAAAAACATTGCATTACTTGAGCAAAGAAAACAGAGCTAGTGAGTCAAGACAAAATAACAAACAACGTACAATTCAAATGACAAAATCATCTTTGTTTGATCAAAATCGGTTCAGAGACGGCTGAAATATCCATAGTTATTACCTATACAAGGCATTTTAGCTGCTAAATAAAAAGTCATATTTTGCACGCTGCTCCGAATATGAAACCGGAGCCGTGAATATTTGCCATATTGCCCTCTTCCGGGTTTGCCCCGTAGACCACTGTACTAAATCAGAGGGCAATATTGAGCCATATTCCACTCTGTCTTGTCAGTGCGCTTTACGCGCAGTATTATGTAGGCGTTCAAGTGTACGCGCGGTAACAATCATTGTTACATCACAATTACACACAGTAACAATCATTGTTACGTCACAATTACATACCTGCCTGAATAACCTGACCGGCAAACAGATGGGAGTAAAAATCAAGATTGATACCAAAGTTGTATAGGCCCCTATCAATAATTTGCTTAAAAATGCCTTGTTTAGGTAACAATAATTATATTGACAGGGCTTCTTTTGGGGTACATCAGAAATATTGACCGCGCTAAGACCATATTGTCCTCGTCTTCGACTCGGGGCAATATTATCTTAGCTTGGTCAATTTATCTGATATACCCCTCAAGCCCAGTCAATATAATATAAATATAACCATTTCTAATATTTGTGGTGCTCCACAAATATTCGATAATTTTAAACTAGCCGTCGAAAAAACGAGATAGCGCCTTTAACGTTTTATTCCATATAATGCCAATATTGGCTTTTTGTTGGCTTTTTCGTGTTGGTATTATCATACGCTCAACCAGTTGGCCAGTGTTTTGTTATTATTATTAAATTTTTCAAATTAATGGTCACTGTGTTTTTTTAAAGTGGAGCTGAATAGGTATGATCGGATTTAATCTATTTTGGGATCTAAAATTACCTTTATAGCAATTTTAGGTCCTAAAACGCCACTAGAAATGTCATAAATAAGAATAAGAGCAATAGCCATGCACTTTGCGGTCTTATTCAAGAACTCAACTGTCCCTTCAAGAACTGATTTATTCATACCCTTACCAAAGTTTTGTAATTCTTTAAGTATGTCTAAAATTGTTTTATCCTGTTTTATGTTTCTTGAGCATGTGAGGTATCAAAGCTTATTCAACAAAAGCCCTAATTCGACCTCACATTTCATTCTTGGGTTACGAATAACATTTAAAATATCAAATTTACAAGGGCTACGAATAATTTAGTTGTAAACTGTACATTTAATTTGTAACTGAAATTAATAAATAAATGAATGAACAAAACGAAAACAAAAATTGTACGAAGACTATTAAATACAAACCTGTTGTTAACGTAATACTGATAATAGCAAGCAACCACATTGCGTGTAGATGTCATATCATGCACCAAATAATGAAGAAGCGAATAATAATCCTAATAGTCCTAATCTGTGTACACAATATAATAAGAAATCTTAATAACATTTTACAGTTATTGCAATATCCCTCTTTAATATCGTTTAGGCATAATGTGATAACATGAGCTAGGTAATTTCAATATTTCGTGTAATTATGACATACTATAGGCACAATTTCTTGTAATGAACAAAATAGAAATGTGCCCATGATGTCAATAGCAACTGTAATTCAAGCATACTTGCACACAATAAATTACTTGCTAACAATACATTGGAGAATGATCTGTATGGTGTTCAAGGGTGTGCGTAGATTGTACTCAGCAGCGAGGAAGAGAGGGGTACAGAGAGAGAGAGAGAGAAAGAGAGGGGGCGAGAGAGAGATGAGCGAGAGAGAGAGAGATGAGAGAGGGGGAGAGAGAGAGATGAGCGAGAGAGAGAGAGAGAGAGAGAGAGAGGGAGGGAGAGAGAGAGAGAGAGAGAGAGAGAGGGGGGTGGACACTCAAAGGCCTCTCAGAATAGTAAAATGCATTATGCTGAGGTCCGTGCATAATAATTAAGATGACAAAACATGTACACTGCTTTCCGTCGATTTAATAACGGTCATGAAAACGCATTCATTACTATATTGAGTTGAAAATGGGGAGTCATAATTATTTAAAAGTAATTATTAAGCTGTCGACTCACGAAAGAGGGGCCGATGATGTCACTTTTCATTTAATGTTAACGCTTTAAGAGTAGTAAATTGGTATACGGGCCTTTATTGTCTTAGGGAGCTGAACGACCCCACCCATGAATGCATAGTTCCAGGTCATCCTTGGGCAACGCTTCGAAAGTTCGAATCCTTCATAGCCTTCCCCGAATCACAGGAAAACTAGGATATTCCGAAAGAACCTTAATTTGTTTGATATCGGGGGTGTTGTGTAAACCTTCTGGGAAAAAGGAGTTGTTAAAATGTTTGTCAATGTTCTGCAAACATTCACCACCTTTCCCTTTGATTCCCAAACAGTCACGAGTTCATATTTTAAGAGTGGCGTCTGGAAAAGACTGAAAATAATATAAAATAAGAATATATTTAGTAGTCTTATTATTATGGGTGTAAACCTGTTAAACTTTCCTTCTTCTGATCGATTCAACCGAGACATAGAAAAACTTTACTCTGATCAACGAACTGCTCTAGATCTGTCACCTCTATGTCGTCCCCTTCAAGTGGACCACAGGGATGTGTCTACAGCATCATCAGAACAGTAGATATGTCTAAAGATTTGACAATATTCAATGGCTGTCACTCACGAATACTTCGACGTAGGCCTAATCTAGAAAGAAAGATCTCCCTCGCCTCTCCATTTGTCATCAAATATACGACAGCTTCTCGTCAGCTTTGCTCCCGTTTGTTGTTGGTACCGCGACAAATATCCTTCCCTCCGATGACCATGCCGCAGAATACCGTTGTTCCTTGTATTTGTTGTATGCTTCTTGAAGTAGAGCACGACTCCTTGCGGTAAGATCCTCTTGTATGGTGATACCTGTCTGATCCATACAGTCAGAACATAGAAAAGCTTTTCTCTGATCAACGAACTGCTCTGTCACCTCTGTGGCATCGCCTTGACGTGGACCCAGGGCACATTATGTTTCTACAGCATCATCAGAACATTAAATGTGTCTAACGATTTGAAAATATTATATGTATGTCACTGAAGAGTACTTCGTCGTAGGCCTAATCTAGAAAGAAAGATCTCCCTAGCCTCTCCATTTGTCACCAAATATACGATAGGTTGTATCCATGTGGTGGATACT